TATCTAAAAATAAATACAAATAATCCAAAACTGTTTACTGAAAATATTAGAAGGGAGTAAATACTTCGTGATTATTTTTTTAGTTTTCCAAATTTAAGCAGGTGCGGACTGTGCTAACCACAGGATATATTATATAAACGCTACAACCCGGGAAGATTCGTACTGCTATTCATTTTCATTCGTACGTTTGACCCAATATATTTATTTATAAATCATGGTCATTAAGTTATTCCCGTGTGGGTTTAAATGGTTAGAGTTAACTTTCACCAGGCCGTTGTCTCAGATTCCTATCTGGTTTTGAAATGGGTCAGCTATTTCCATCAAATCGTAGTTACATAGGCATGCTTGCTAAATTTCGAAGAAATCTAAGTGACTATACAAGTCAATGAAAATGGCTCTCATCAAAAACGGTTGCATCGTTTGTTAGGAATAATGTGATTCTCTATTACTCTGCAACTGTTTAAAATTTGTAAGTATACATTGCGTTTACATACTCATTTTTCAGAATGTAACATATCTAATCTACATTGCATTAGTTTCTATTTATAAAACTTATAGAAATGGAAACTTATTCAACTGTAAAAGATAAAAGAATGCGACTTCTTATATCAAATAATAATGTATGAAAAATTATTATTTTTTTGTTAAGGTTTAACTTACGGCTTGTCTGTTATCATCTTGTAGTTTGGCGTTGGATAAACTAAATCATTTAAGTGACCTTCAAGAAAAGAAAAGAAACTTAATTTTGGTTAAGGTTAAATGTACTTTGTCATGAAGTAATACTCTTCATTACATATAATCAGAAGATATATTCAGTTACGTCTCAGTTATAAGTAAATTATAAGATTACTGATTAGTCAGAGGAAGTATTGTGGTGGGTTCTACTTATGTCGACATCAGTAGCATATAACTCTACTCAGGAATAGAATGTCTGGCAGCAGAGGGTTGGGAAGATGGAGAAGGGAAGAATGGGAACAGAAAGCAATTGGTATGGAAACACAGGAACAATGAAGTATAGGAAAATTAATGAACATTTTATTTTATTAAGTAAATCTGTAATTTTGTGTTAAATATAATCAGATGTCTTCACCTGTGTTTTCCTTCACTACAGTATTGTTAAGTGAAAAATAAATTAAGACGTTTAACTTTCCAGTGTTTTAAAATACATTTAGTAAGTGCTTTACAAGAGAATTCAATATCATGAAACTTACATTATTGAAGAGTTTCTAAGTAAGACAAATTTATTAAGTACGACAGGACATTAAAGTAGTTCGTTTTGGGTGAAAACGTTTACAAATACAGAGAAGCATTTGAATTTCAATGATAATAAGATATGACTACCTTACAAAACATTTAATTAGTCTATATCATTTTTCGATTTTCGGTATGCTTCAGTATACAGATGAAGATAGTATAGAAGAGCATAGAAATAGTAAATAGTGCGTAAATGTATTACGTCAACAGTCATCGTCACCAGTTATACTGAGACTTTTATTTAGGAACATCAGGTGTCGTGTAGAGAAAGTCTAAGATCAAGAAAGGTTAGCCATTTTAAGCTACCTGACTGTTAATTGTCCTTAAACGGATGTCACACACATGGTAGAAATAAACCTCAGTAGGGGGGACCATTTACATTGATAGGATTTAGGTTTTTTGACCTTCAATAATTAATTTCTTTTGGAAAACAAACCTGTTGACTGATATACGATTTGTAAAGCACGGAAAGGCTTATTGGTTCTAAATCTCTCCTCAATAATTAATCGACTAAAAAAGTTGTAGTTATCTACTCCAAATTATTCAATGTATGTCGATGTTAATGGTTTATGACGTTCTAAATGATGAACACTGATGTTTCTACCCTTTCTAACGAGTGTGATAATGACTGATATAAAATTTTGATCTGACCATCTACCCAGCCCCTGATGTTCTAATGTTTCAAAATTGGCATAGTTTGAAATTGAAAATCAAGCTGTTACCACTATACCACTCGACACACACTATTCTTATTTAAAAAATACTGTTGAACATTAAGTTCAAATCCAGAAGATTGAGGAAAATGCAATTTGTAACTATTTTCACTAAACATAGAGTTTCAAGAAATGGGAGTGATTAGTTTTTATGATCAAAAAACTAATGAAGATTTACTAAACAGCGCAACGATACTCTAAAACGCATTTTTGGACTAAACTCGCTTTAAAAGCAGTTATTCAATAATATCAAGCCTAAATGAAATTGAATACAAAATGAAACAGGTTTCTTTTAATACCAGGAATTTTCAAATATTTTTTATTATAGTAGTTTTACAGTCAATACAAATACAGTTAACCATTAAGAAATCTTTTTTCCTCATAAATCACTGTCTGCTAAAGTTCGGTGATAAGAATTCAAGTTGTTCTATTAAAAACCAAAAGATCGAAAACTTGAACATATAATGTTGCATATTGAGCTATCCCGACAATTTTCGGGAAAGATAAAAAGCAACTATCCAAAACTATGGGTTGATAAAGTTGAAAAAAAACATGCTGATATCGTGCACGTTATGTCAAATTTGACTGCTACAGTTTTGACAACAAGTTGTAAATGACTTCAATTTTTACGACGGTTTTAATGTTTGGATATCAATTAAGTTCCATTCATTTATTAATCTTTGATTTCTTTCAAGTTTTTTTGTTAATATGGTAATTGTATGTTTATGAATATAATGAGCGGCTCTTTTTAACATTGTGTTCACTAACCTGGGAAGTTGAAAACACTTCTGTAAAGTACTTCAACAGATAAAATACGCAACAAATTAAACTGTATGCAAAAACTGTCCGAAACAGTCTGAATCATCCCTTGCACTATCAACGCACTGTTAGCTGTAACATTCGTTTCCTGAAATAAGTTTCGTGAAATCATTACAAGAACCTTAAAACTTAATTGAAATCAACCCACCACAATCACCATTTAGTTTTGAATCATATTTGAAAGACTATAGTGACTATAGTGACTATAGTTGTATTAACTTATATGTTTTTCCAAAATATGTCAGTAACCAATTAAAGAAAAACAGATATCCGATGAAAAGAGTGTAACTCTTCTGTTTATGTTACATTTTCAGAAAACTGTTACTAACGAACGTGGATAATGAAACCACTAAGAGTTCAACATCGTTTATACCTATTTCTAGTCAATATTGATAACTAGATGACTACATTTTTTGAATATTTCATTTTAAAAAAATTTGGGAAGATGTATTCAATGAATATTTTATACACTTAAAATTCCAACTTCTTGGCAGTACATTGATAATTTTTTTCCATATTTTTTCTTGTCAAATGTAATGTTATTCCTCTTGTATATAAATGACTTTCCTCGTCTCCTTTCGTCATCGGTCTTGCTATATGCTGACGATGTTAAGATGTGGAGAGCGATAAGAAGTAAAGGTGGTAGCTTAGAACTGGAAAGTGACGTGATGAAATCATCTGAATGGTCTCAAACTTACCAATTGCAGCTATATACTTCCAAGTGTATTGTGATGTGTATTGGTCATCAAGGTATAGATACATACATGATGAATAACACTGAGCTACTTGTTGTTCAGACGCAGAGTGAATTAGGGTTTATCGTTAGCCAAAACTTAAGAACTACTGCACACTGTCGTGCACTAGCCGCCAAAGGTTTTAGAACTTTATCGTCAATACGTAGGGCCTTTAGTCATGTCGACGCTAAAAATTTCTTCACTTTGTATACAGCCTTCCTGCGTCCTGTATACAAGCGGCTAGCCCCTGCTTAAAAAAAGACAGTGAGCTTTTGGAAAAGGTTCAGAGAACAGCAACTAAGCTGACTGAGGAACAGCCAAGCTCACATATGATATTCGATTGACTAAACTAAATCTATTTCCGTTGTCATACCGAAGAACTAGAGGTGATTTGATTACAGATTTCAAATTACTTGGTGATAAATTTGCACCTGATATGCCCTCATTTTTTTATCTTCCAAAAAAGAGAATTCACGAGTACACTCTAAAAGAGTTCACAAGCCCAGAATAAATTACTTATCAGCTGACCATGGACTTTCCATCGAACAATCAACGAGTGGAATTAATTACCTGAAAACTTGATTGAAGCTCCATCTGTTGACTGTTTCGAAAGGAAGTTGGATCAACTGAGAGACCATCATTGCCAGAATTAACACAGACCATTAAGCCTAATGTCCTTACCAAACTGAAACTGAAATGTTTATGAGTAGATTTATACAAATATTTCAGTTTATGTACTGTGTGTTAGTTTATTTTGCTTCTATGATCTTCATTTGAAGAGGCTTTGTACAAAGTTTCCTGAATTTTCAGCACAAACCTATTTAATTGTTTATATTTACAGACGTATTTAGTTTAGTTTATTATAGCTGGAAATGTTACCGGTTGTTAGTATTAACTAATGTCCAACTCATTTATAATATTCGCTGCATCTAAACACACAAGATATAATTCTACTTTATTGTTTTTCTGGTTTAATAGATCGTGAATCTTAAATGTTTATACATAGTGAATCAGTGTTCTAATCACTGTAACCGCAAACAATTACTGTTTTAAAAAAAATTCAGTTATACTACCTAAAAAGTAATAAACGTTTAAATGTCTATTCAGTATCAGTTTATTTACACTTATTATTTATCAGTAGTAGTGATGATTCAACATAATTTTATGGCTATTATATATATATATATATATATATATATATATATATATGCTTTTTGTTGTAGCTTACGAGTGTTTCAAATATCTTTGTTTTTAGAAGAAGGTTTAATGGAGATTTTAGTAATTTTATATAATTGAAATCATGAGTCAATTGAAGTTAGACCACCATGAAAAACCTTGAAGCCCTGGACAGCCGTTTCGTCCTATTGTGAGACTCCTCAGCAGTGTGCATCCATCAAATCTCGTGAGGCGGGATTGTGGATGAGCACTGCTGAGGAGTCCCATACTAAGATCAAACGGCCGTCCAGTGCTTCCAGGTTTTCCATGGTGGTCTAGCTTCAATTGATTGATGATTTCAACTATATCTTTATTTTGTAAATTCACTTTATTCAACTGATGGAGTAGAACCAAATTCCTTGGAAAAGTATGTTCATTATATTCAGTTTATTTACGATAATGTATGATTTTGTACATAAACAATTGATTCATTCATTTGGAAAGATGAAAGTATTAATCAGAAACAATTTTTTTGATTGTCTAATTTAGTGCTGATATTCACTGTTAAGAACTTGTGTCGTTGAGGTTAACAGGAATATATATTATTTTAAATGATATCATGAGAGTTAATATATTGACTGTAGCTGCATAGTCCCTTTTTATTAACTTGCATTATTTTTTCAGCCTACTAATGTGAGCCGAACATCTTGAACTGTCGCGGGTTAATGGCAATAAATGATACCATTATTGCATGAAATTTCACTACATTAGTGACACGTTTCCAGGCCTTTTTCTAATTTCTAAGATAACAATTGCTTTATGATATACTTAATAAAACCATCACAAAAGTGATCGCAAATTCTTCGCCTTATGTTTTATAACATTATTAAAGATCGATAATTCTGAAGTTGTCTATAAATGTTAGATTAGGCGTTATGATTGTTGTTTTCATAATCCCTGTCCGACCGTATATATTATTTGTTTTCATCCAGCAAAAAGTCTTGCCTTCTGTAAGATGAAATGTACTATAATGTATATTATTTACTTATGCATGTTACCGCCCGTGGAGGGGCATAGGCCGCAGATCAGCATTCTCCAACCCACTCTATCCTCCGCCATTCTTTCCAGCTGTTTCCAGTTGATATTCTTCCTTTTGATGTACGCTTCCGATTCCCGACGTAGTGTGTTCTTTAACCTTCCTTTTTTCCGTTTCCTTTGACGATTACTAGTTAGCGCTTGCCACGTAATACAGTTTGATGATTTCCTTAGTGCGTGTCCTATACACTTCCAACGTCTTTTCCTAACTTCCTCTTCATCTGGAGGCTGGTTTGTTTTCTTACACAGTGGGTTGTTGCTGATGGTATCCGGTCAACGGATATTGAGTATCTTGCTTAAAAAATTGTTTGCAAATACTTATGTCACTTTGATGATGGTTGTGGTAGTCCCCGAAGTGTCAGCCCCGTACAGTAGAACTGTCTTGACGTTCGTATTGAAGATTATGTGTACTGCTCATCAAATAATAATCGAATTCATGATATACTATTCAGTATTGTTACGTCTTGTAAGTTGAACGCTATATTCAGATCCTAAGCTATTCGGATAATCCCAGGGCTAGCACTACTCAGCGACTTGAATACCAGAAAGAAGACACGAGTATCAGAGAAACACTTTACTGCAAGGTTCATTTATGTACAGAAAATATAGGGATTTTATGGTAATTTAAGAGTCCTTGAGTTTTTACTGAAAGTTCTAGAATACTGCTAAACATAGTAGCAGTGCATAAATCAGCCAATCAGGATCTCCACATGTGACATTTCCATTTTCGTTATTTTATTAACATAACTTCACATAACTTCTAATTAGTCGCTGACTGGTTGAAATGCTCCTTGATGACCCCTGAGCTTGTCATGTCGCTTGTCATGTCGCTTGAGAGAAAAATGCAGGGTTATCCCAACAAGTATGAATTGAATCCTCAGTAGCAACGTTTGTAATTTACTAAATTTTCTTAGTGATTTGAGAAAAAATTGGATTTGCGTAGGATAACTGGATGTGTTTTAAATGTGCTAGTTTAGTTGAAATTATTTGTTTAAAAAAATAATTACAGTGATTACTACTAATAGCTATAGCATTGTACACTTAATTAACCAGGTAAACCACAAATTTATTGCATGAAATGCCTGCAGTACTAGTGACTAGAAAACATGGTAATTTCCGTAAAACCTTTCCTTTGATAGTGCGTCGTGGCCAGAACAGCTTAGCAAGGAGGTTACTTTCTGCGGTAAAAGAGTAAAATATGCTCGAGACCGTCAAGAGACAGCAGTCACTGTGAGGCTGAATATAAACATTCTTAAGGAGTGACAGCCATCACAAAGCATGGAGAAAAGATTAATAATGATGACATTCATTCATTTGATTAGAAACTCTTTAGTCTCAAACACTTTTGATACATTCTGTTTTCCGACGTTATGGAGTTTGTCAATGTGAAGATAATAGTCAGAAAATCCGTTTTGATTTTTAAAAGCTACTCAGCGTAAAGGTTCAGTTCACAAATTCATATTTTAATTAAGTACTTTCTAGTAAGCTCATCTCTCAGTTATAGATTTATCACCTCATTAAAAATATCGACTCTCTTAAACTCTCAAAAAATAACTAATATTTATGTCTTACATCAACTCGGTGCCCAAATACTGTGAAACTATTCGCCCTAATTTAAACGGAAATTCTTATATAAACTAGTATATATGTTCTGAAAAAAGTCAAAGTAATTGATGTAATACTTAGACAATTAGTGTTTATATAAATTGACAAAATTTTAACTCCTTATTAACTGTATAAAAAGGTCCGTTTTGATATGTTTTCTCAAATCGTATGCTACTACTATACTGTAGCTTACCTGATAATTTAGATTTCTCGTCCAAAATCTTATTCAATAATTGACGTATATTTTTAGTCGTATCAAATGATTTTTCCATAATAATACTTCTTTTAAATCTGTTTTTAAGTAGACAAGTTTCCTCACATTCTGCTTCAGTTTTGAAGACACGTCCAATCATTTGACTTTCATACATATTTAACTGCCCGTACAATCGTTGTGGTTCATTTAAACAAATTGGTACTAGAATAGGTACACAAATACCATCAATTGTTTCATCTGTTACATGGACACTTGATGTTACTTGAAATCGATAACCTAATTCATGAATTATATCTTCACTGTTACAAAATGTATGTCTATCTATATTTTCATATTGACTACTAGTGATGAACGGTAAACATGGGAATTTTTCTGACAAGATATCTGGAACGAACATAAAAATCGTTATGAAAACAAATGAAGTTTCAACATTTGATACAATCACACTTATTTAATGAAATAACTTTTTAACTAAAAGAACTCAATTGAGGGTTAAGGTTTTAATAATAATGAGTTATTTGAAACGGCGTTCATTAAATTACCTTCAAAACGTATCTGGATAAACTATAGGATTTCATATATATTATCCATCCATTTTATCAGGATTGCTTACCATAAAATTGCATTAAAACAGGAAAACATAGTTTTAAATTTAACGTTTATTTTTAAAACTCTTTTCAGCATTTCATTGTTACATCTGAAGTAACGTAATCAAATATCATCTGTAAACCGCTGTACGCAGGAACAAACGTCGAAGATTCATGTAGCTTACACACTTCAATTTATATTTTGTTTTAAATTTTCCTTTTACAAAATAGAATACGGTGTTTATTGACTACATACAAGATAGTTCCGTAACAGGTGATTTAAATGATTAAAAATATAATAATGATATCTAATTTTTTTTAAAATTGTTTTTCTATTGTGGTGTGTGCTACTGATGTCGACATATATAAGTAATATGTATCTAAAGTGAAATGTCTGGAGGCAGAAGGTTAAGATCAAAGAAAAGAGAACGAGAACAGAGAATGATTGGTGTGGAAACGAAAGAACGATAAAGTTTGAGACGATTGACTGATATTTTGCGAATGAATCATTAACTGCATGGTTAGTGAAATATTCTTATCTTTACAGTTTGTGCAATAGCTATATATTATTTTAATAAATTTATATCTTATGACCTCGGTAACAACATGTGTGAATGAGGTATGAAATTGAATGGAATTTAATCACCATGATAAATAACCTTTTTTTCTTAGGGATTATATATTATCTGATAGAAATAGGTAACAGATGATTTATCTAGTTTTATACCTTCAGTAAGTCAATATTGAATATGTAATAATAAATCTATTACAATTCACTGTCTTTACTACATTCGATCCATAGAGTAGAAGTGGATATAACTACTTAACATTCCTTTTTTTATTCATAATCTATTTATATGGATAAATTTAATTTAGCATAAGATCGAGTCTTGTGAGGTGGGATCGTGGATGCGCACAGCTGAGGAATCCCATAATAGGACGAAACAGCCGTTCAGTGCTTCCAGGTTTTCCATGGTGATTGATTCATGATCTCAACTAATATAATTCCTTTATTCTTAAAATAATAATAGTTTAATACGATTAGTTATTGGATGAAAGAGAAATCTCATCAAAAGGAAAACTCTACAATTTTCACAAATGTTTTAATTTCATAATAAATAACTGTAGGAATGATAAATTTTACTAAGCGAATTCATATTAAAGTAGTTCTGTTTTTTGTAAATTTTGTTTGCTTATTTTATAGGATATAAATATTTTATGTAAGTATTTCTTTTAATAAGTATGTGTAACTTTCAATAGAAATCAGTTGATGCTTTTTGTCTTTTATCTTTTACTAAATAATCACCAAAATTGGTTCGACCTTCAGTAACGTCCGAGAGCTGAACATTTGGTGAACTGATATCTGACTCTAATTAGATCGTTTCTGATGATTGTCAGTGGAATATACATGTTGCCAAAACTCGTATATAATTATTGACTTAACTGGTGTTAGTGAATAAGGGAATTAAATAAATCAAATACGAGAATGGATTTTGAATACGTGTGTTTCATGCAATTTTTATTCCAGATAAACGATCAGGGGAACGACGAGAAAAAAGCAAAGGGAAGGGAGCGAAGCGAAGTGATGCGCAGTGGAAAAGGCATGTGAGCCAACTCCATTTAGCCAAGGGTGGTTCGATATTCATAATCGAACAAAAATAGGTTACAGATATGAGATGAATAGAATAAGAAATGTACACACATACGCTTACATAGAAACAGTCAAGGATGATAAGTGAATACGTGATGGGGTAAAATGTGCTTTGAGAAAAATGAATGGATTGGCTTGTTCGGAAGCTAGAATAAGCTATGTGGCCTTAACATAGCAGCCGACATTATAAACATCAAAATTTACGTTTCAATATTTTATCTAACAGAAACTAAGCAAATTTTGATAGTTCTTGTGCAAGTATGTAAATCTAGTAAGTTTCATTTACTGAACGACATTATACTATTTTACTGACACTCAACACTATGAGGAAATTCATTAGAATCCTAAATTCCTTTTACACATGTCCTCACTTATAGATATTGTTTCTTTTTAACAATCAAATACGTTAATTTTTGAATGAACTCACTTGGTTTTGTGCTTTTTATCTTGTTTATCTCTAGCTGAATACATTATTAAACTTGAAATTTAATATGGAAAGAATTATCAACCACATATTACTTGAGTTGGGTGAAAACGTTTCCAAGCACAAATTCATCCTGTTGGTGGTATTATTTGATGAACATGAATAGACCATGTTCAACATAATATCATGAAAATCCTAATAATTACTATCAAAGAATGATATCATATTGACAAAGAAATAAAATAGGGGAAATATAACCTATTTGTTGTATAATTATATCATACGTTTATATTACATTTTGGTATCTATACAAAAGTGCTTAAATCTTATTTATATACAATGAATGTATAAATATTAATCGTTTAAGGTTCCCCATCATATTAAAAGACTAGTATTTGAACGAGGAATATTCTTTTCCATAAATTCTTTTCAGGTTCTACAATTATATATCCAAATGAATAATCCGAAAAGATGGCAAAGTTAAAGGCAAAGTACATCGTTTAAAGCATGTAAATTTAGGATTGTCAAACAAAATAGAATAAAACTATTAATGTTGATATGACTCATATAGAATGTTAACTTGAATCAGTATATATGTTAAGTGAAAATTTAAGATCTGTGATCTGAATAAATATGGATCAGATAGGATGAGAGAGATATGATAGTGAAATTACAATTCGATCAAGTGGAAAACTAAATTGTGTGAAAAATTCGTAAGACGTAATAAGAAGGGATCAATGCTAAGTTAATGAATCATGTATAGGGGAGATTTATAATGATGTTTAACCAATAATAACAATAATAATAATAATTTCAACTATGAAAATACTAAATCTCCATAAAAACCCTTCTGATAGTTAATATAATCATATGCTCATTAGTGACTGACTTCGAGAAGTACATCAAGGAGTTCTAGTGAGAAGCAGTGACCAGTGGAGTTCAAACCACGTCTGTTGTCAGATATCAACTCACTGAAGACAATTAGTGAACGGTTGCTCAACTTCGTGGATTCGTTGAAGTTAGACATTAACACCGTTGGATGCCGGCTCAGTGGTCTATAGGTTAAGGGCTCTGGCTCGATGCTGGTAGGTCCTGTGTTGGAATCTCGCGGGTACGGGATCGTGAATGCGCACTGCTGAGGAGTCCCATAATAGGGCGAAACAGCCGTTCAGTGTTTCCAGGTTTTCCATGGTGGTCTAGGTTCAATTGACTCGTGGTTTCAACTATGAAAATAATAATAATACAAAGATTTGTAAATAAAGATAAGAGAGACAATTACATTCGACTACGAAAGGTCGTAAATACATAGTCAAATTAGGTCATCCAATAGCTAAGATTACTATTGATTAATTGGTCTTGTGGATGGCTAAGGATGGAGCAGGGGTTGGAGATATTTCTTCTGTACGCATAACTCAAGTTTGTTCATTCTGATGGCTACTGCCTTAGCCGTTTGAAGGACTTTAAGCTTGACAAGCTTTGGCAAAAAATTACTGACCCTATAAATAATTGAAAAGGATTGGTTTATACTGGCACCATGACCAGTTTGTACTAAATGGGCCAATATCGATCTGTTTACTTTCTTCACCAAACCTTTGCTTAGCCACGCTGGGAGGTGTTCACGAGCCTGATAAGAGAGTTTATCGAAAAGAATATTCTTCGTTCAAATATTAGTCTTTTATTATAAATATTGCATGTCTTCTTTTTCTTCATTATCTGAGTAACAAATAAAAACCCAGAAAGAATTAATTATTTAGCAAGTCATGCGAAATGTTTTGTAGCTATGTACATACTTTTATTATCAGTTGGTATTCTACGGACACTTGTAGAAGTGTTTTCATCTGTCATTTGTTGGGTATTTGTAGGATTTTCCATAGATGATGCTTGAATCAATGTTTTGCTTGATTCTTCTAATTTTTTATCACTATTTAAATTAGAACTCTGCATAATTTTTTCGGCGATCACTTCAATGTCCGGTACATAAATACATGTTGCATTACAGGCACTAAGCGATGGGAAATTGTTTCCATGCGCTAGTAGACCAGTGAAACGAAATGGAAGACACTGTTTTCTAGAATGATCATAATAGAATCGTTCAGGATAACTTGAGTCAGTAGAATTCTTCTGAACATAGCAAAATACAAAAAACACACAACTAACAATGATATCTTCGAGAAAATGGTACAAGTATATTCCATAACTGTTTACCTCATATAAACAATAGACTTATTTACGAAATATACGAAAATAATTGCTAACAAACTTCAAGAGTATTTTAAGAGTATTTGATTGCATTTAAAGTAAACTTACTAATGTACGTTATATAATTGATAGTTACCACAGTTTGTTATCGCTAACAAATGAACGCCTAGATAATGATTTCATGCCTAAAATGGTGTTCTCAGTATAAATATTACAGTAAAAACATAAACAATGGGATCCGATTGAATCCAGATAGCAAAATCCATAAATGACTGAACATGATTATATTTTTTAATATGTTCAAATACTGCTGGAAAATTGTTATAACCCGATAAGAATAGTAAACGGTAACTTTGGGGATCCGTTTATGGACCAATACTGTGCGTATATTTTTATTATATAATTGTTAAGTAACTAAATTATTCATATTCGTGTCCCTCTTATTATAAGCTTCATTTTGACCTATAGACTATTATTATACGATTTGCCATTCTTGAGTTATTCCCAGTCTATTGATTACTGTTCCCCCTATACACAGCCACATTTGGCTAAATCTTGTACAAATGTTATTCCCTATTTCATTGTACGATGTCTTCTGTTTGTTTGGTATATAAACCCAGTATGTTTGAAATAAATGATTCGGATTGCAGAGGCTGTTATTGGTGTTCTGGACTTAACTGGCTGTGCTAGGCAGATAGTAGGACCGAGTAGTGCTCAAGACAGCTCATACGGCTTTCGTGTATTATTGATTCGATCGATAAATTCACTCCTTTCTCATTGGCGGGAATCAGCACGTTCATATATATCAACTGGGCAAGAACGCACTCAATCGATATAACAAAAATAAATTATTACAATATTACTATAGACATGATGAGCTAATTAACTGGAGTTGATAAATTCCCTCTAAAAACTACGATATACAACCAATAAATTTTACAAAAAGGATATTACAATAGATAGATAACAGAATTCTCTGCTTTATTCTAATATTTGCTTATAAAATATGAAAAAAAAGATAACAATGAATTTATAACAACATGAAGAGGAAACTTGCTTGTAAAGGTAGTCTACAAATATCTTTCCCCATGCAAAATCCTTCACATTCTGCTTTTGTAACGAAACGGTTAGAATTTCCAAAGCATCCACCGTATGTAAAAGGCATACACATTCGTTTTTGCATGTCATAATACCATCGTTTTTCAAAGTTTGAACATCCACCATGATCATACGGAAGTCGACAGACATCTAAAAATGTAAATTTTAAATTTTCCTAATGTTTTTTGAAGTCGTTTAAATGAACACCAAGAGTATCAATTTACGTAGGATTGATGAATGCCCTGAATCAAATAGTTGTTTTCATTTCAAAACTAGCTTTAGTGGTGATAGAACAGATAAACAGAGTACTTAAACTCCGAATGATCAAACCATTACATTTTATTTTGGTTAAAGTACTTCATCAAGCGCATAACATGAAATGGATTCTACAGTTCGGTAAATATTAATTTAAAAGGTTTTTATAAATTAACAAATAAAAGAATCAAAATCTTGATTACATCAGCTTCACAATCTATTAATAGTCAAAACGGCTTTCATTACGAATGGGAGTCATATACAGACTTACAGAATCTCCTTTAAATTCGTAATTTTTCAGTAATGTGGAAATATCACCTAACACGGAATATTTTTATGGCAAGCACAGAATCTCCATAATGCAATGCCTCGAAATTTTCAATTTCGATTGATGAAGCTTAATCATTCATTTAAGGGAAGTCATTCAGAAACTTTACACAACCTAAATACTCCTCCATAAAACTTAGTCCAGTTCTAGTGTGTTTGATCTGTCCAGTAATGAGGTTTTCGCAGTGGTTCATTAGATTTTCTCATAGTGAAGTAAATTTCCAATAGAGCTTTAGTTATATTTAAAACTATGGAAAAAGGAGTCCATTTAAACACTGGTTTTACTTTATTATAGTTAATAGAAGACTATTTGGTGTGAATATTTTTTATTTAAAAAGTATTTTCATTGAGTACATCCTTGAAAATTTACTTCTCCTGAAGTCAAACTCACGATACTCATCCATCATACGTTTATTAGTAGGGTAGATGCTTAACTTGAAATACATTTTTCTATATCGACGATCACTAAGATCATCGAAACAATGGGTCGTATATACAAAATGTTCAAAATGCGCTTGTTCAATGAATGATTTAATTTATTTTTCTAATAAAAGAGTCTTAAATACAAAATTATCGACCAATTTATTCAACTTCTAAGGACAAAAACAAACCTATAGGGTGTCCAGGTGTACATATATCTTGGCAAGCTTTATGACTAGGAAAATTATTTCCATATTGTGGACAAGTTATATAGCTCCTGCACTGTGTTTCTCTAGGTTCAAAATACCATCTAGTAACCATAGCATTGCAGCCAAATGGTACTGTTACAATCGGGTTCATATGACAGACGTCTAAAATGAAGACAAGGAGATTAAACTGTTTCAAGGTTAAAAATGACAAATAAATGAATAATATTGTTCTAATTCACATCCTCTTAGGGCTTTACTTTAATATACAGTTGTGTTTATGCTGGTGTATAAAGAACAATAAATATATTAAGGTAATCTGCTGGTCAACAATAACAGTGACGTGAACTAAATATCAACCATATAAAAATATGATAATAAATCAAATGTTTGATGACATGCTTAGTGGTAGTATTAATTATAACATTAATGGTAAGAATAATGAATTCACAACCATAGTCACTGTCTATGAAATAAGACGAAACTGTGTACTAACTTTAACTGATTCTTCCTGAGTTACTAATGGGAATATTTAAGTTTTGCTTTACAGGAAGTAGTACATCCACAATATCTTCCTCCACGGAAACAGCTGAATCTATAAACTCACACTGTGGAAATAAAATTAGGTAAATTATCCTTTGTTTAAAGAAACATTTTGATCGACTAGTAAAGAATAAACGAGGATTATTTGTATGAATTTTTGTTTTTGGCATACTTGTCTAGTTTGTCAACTTTAACTTCCCATCTATTGCGCTTCTCGTAAAGTTTTTCAAAAACGTTCACAATAACCAATTTCAATTACATACCATGTTTGTATCGTACTGTACAGACAGATTTCTGAGAAGGTACAGACCAGAATAAAATGAAATAAGCAGTCAAGAAGATCTTTTGTTACTAATTGTTAACTAAGACAAGACTATTCCTACCTCCTAATAGTCATGTTCATTGAATACTTACTGAGTCTACTTGAGACGAGAAAACGAAATGTACAGTCAATCATAAGCTCATAAGCTTTGTTATCCAAAGGATACAAACGCAAATTGCTAAAGATCATTCTCAAGAATAAATCTAATAGAAATAAAATGTTTTAGACATATCACTGTCTAATAACCATATTCTTACATGCAAATTTATATCATACCAATATAATTTGATCAGTGGTGAACTGATGGTTATCTAGACTATTCTCAACAAATTCTAGTTCGATTATACGGAGCTATTATATATTTGTATGATCGTTATTAACATATAATTTGCCATTCAACGTTGACTGGTAGAAATAAGAATATTCTGAAAATTCCCATTTTGACATTTGGTAAGTAAATAAGGAACGAATCAAGCGAAGAAATTCCTTTTCAATTAGTTTTTCATCATGACTCTACACTTCCTTCTTTTTTTATATATTATGCAACATAACAACTGATTGATTTTCGAATAATTACTTTGATTATTATGATCCACTTTCTTCCAATTACTCAATGTTAGTTTATATTCGATATATTATTGCATAATTATTGCGTAATGTATCTACTCGATCCCCGAAATTCATGCAGACTTTTAGATTTCAATGGAGTTTCTTTTCAATACTTCATTATAAATTTGATACGAAATGAGCCAAATTAGAAAGTAACTATCCAAATACTAGCAGAGTCTATCTTAATCGTTTTATCTGACATCCATTATTCGAGCTTATACGTTTAATGGTCGGTTTAATTATCCAATACTAACTTTGTACAACTGACTAACCACTGGTCATCATATAAAATCGATGTCACTTGAAACAAGTTTACATATGTTATTCGATCCAGTCATTTAAATACTCTACGTTAAAAGTCGCTTAAATTATTCTTTCATGAATCAGCTCACTTTATAAAACAATTGGTTAACTAACTTTGTGTGTCTGTTCCTCTAGGTGGTTTTGGTAAGCAGTGATACTGACATGCACTACGAGTCGCATAGATCCCTTCAGGTAGATTTCCAGTCCTTGCTTGCCATACTCCAAGCCATTGACTTGTTCTTCTCAAACGAAATGAAAACTTTTTTTGAGGTATTTGAAATTCGCTTACTTTTTCTTCAGGTTCGCAAATTTCAAAAAAATAACAATCTCCGATGGTATGATTATAAGCCCATGCTTGAATTCCACTTCCAGGACATTTTGTGATTGGTTTATCATAGTGACAGCGAGCAAACTCTTTAAATAATCAAGTCATAATAAAATGTTATCAATAATGACTAAATACTTAGTAACTTTTTTTAGCTGTTTGTGTAGAAAATTTGGTTTATAAACAGTCGAACCTAATAGAGAGAAATAAGTAATTAGGCCAATTTATCTACGTACTTATTTCCTTTTCTTAATAACAAATTTTTCTAGGAAATATCATCACGTAAAAGCCTTAAATCATCTAAGTTTCATACCCTGTGAACGAATTTAATAATTCTCATGTTTTGTTTGCCCATTAGCTCTCAATTAAATTTAAGCTTTTAGGTGGAGTTTTGTTCTCTGAACTGGATGGTCTGGTTGAGCAGCTTTCATCGTCTTGCTGAACGACATCATCAGCACAAACTTCAGGTAGAAGTGAAGTGTTCGAATTTCTCCACATATGACTCAGCTTATCCTGTCGACCTCGATATTGATTGGTTATTGTCTAACTTTAACCTGTCATTACCTATTGCAGTTCAGAGAACAAAACTCCACTAAGATCATCCATATGAGCTACAAATCTCCATCATCTCAAATTTAAGCTTTGAAAGCGAGTAATCACAGGTATAATTTATAGCAATGATAAAAATTCCTATATATCTTTAATCCGTTGATAAGCAGAGTATAGAAATATCATTATTAGAAAGGTTTGAGTTATTTCGTTATAAACATTCCCAACTAAATTCTGATTAATCTTAATTGGTATATGTGCATTATGTGCGAATTATCTCGATACGGACATTTTTCACCCTTTTTTAGAGAGATGAATTAATCTACCGGCCAAAACTTAACTTGCGGAAAGTGGCTAAGTAGAGACAATCGGCATAGGGTATGCACCTTTCACCCGACACTGAGAAAAATTCAGTCAACAATATCAACAACGAGATAACTCAAACCTTCTTTCAAATGGTACTATTATCATCCTCGTTAAACATGTTAGTGACTAATTGGACTCAGTAGCTTGGTGAATAGTGGTTTGCTATTTAACGAGCGAAGTAAAGGATTCAAGTCTCGACATGAATATAAACAATAAGTAGCACACAAATCTAGCGGACGAATTCTTATTTAGTCAAAATACGTGTCCTGAACTCCGTTGTTAGCCTCGATTCGTTTCTTCAGTTAAACACAAAACTTTAAACAAACCAGCACTTTGTGATCTAAAATCGCTGATAATTTCTTGTATAATAATGGATCTGCAAATAAAAGCATTTCCAGTTAATCAGTTTAGATTACCTAATCTAAACCTTACCTCTTCTTTTTTCCAAGTAAAAGAGTGAATACTTGGTTTTAATAAGTAACAAGTTATTTAGCTGAGCAATGAAAATTGAGAAAAATTTAATTCGAGAAGATTGAATGGTTTGTATACCCAGTCACTGATGGTAGTCTTATAACAGTGGGACACCACTATATCTATCATCATGTAATAAAATCCTGAGCCTCGTAATGAGCTTTCATGGTGTATATCCTTCTAAATCTATTATGATGTAAAACGTCAGTTTGTCAGTACTAGTACTTTAAGTATCTAAACTCTAGCTCTCTCTCTCTCTATCAGAATGCGAATGACTTATTCAGCTTCAGAGTGATCAATCATCTATAATTATCATATTGCTCAGAGATGTTAGATATTCGCCAAGTTTTTTGTAACTCTTAAAATTAGCCAATGATGAAAGTTTTAAAATAATCTAGATTTGAATGTCACAAAGTTAATATTATTTTTCTTACAAGATATCAATCAAAGTATTGTAAACGTAGAACGTATCTAACGGATATTTCGGATATTAACGGTGCGAAATAACGTTGTAAAAACTGTATTATCTTGGATCAATCTAGTTGGATAGTTTACATTGTAAAAACATATAAAATTTGTATACTTAAGAAAATGATTTGTTAAGAAATAAATTGATAGTCGTACAATTTACTTTGTATTAAGGTATTTGTCCATAAGTATTACCCTACATATTTTTTATATCAGTTATAATCCAACTGACAGTAGAACAATTAGGATTTAGATGAAGTTACTTTTTGAAACAATTATCAAAAGATCTAAATTAGAAGCTTTTTTTCCCAATTATACAGGATTAACATGTGATAGAATTACAAAAAAAAATATATCGAGTTAATGAAGATTAACAGTAAGCTATTGTAAAAGTGCATCATTATAACAAATGACTGAGTGAATGAAAAAAAAACATACACACATCGAGTTACAACTTTTTCGATCTACAACATTTGTTTAAGTTTGTTCTGGTGCAAGTTAGAATAAATTGATTTTATATTCATATTTATTAAAACAGACTTCTTTACATGGTACCTGATAATCTGAAATCTATCAACTAGGTTATCAACAACTATTGAATTTATTTAAATGGGATCTAGTTCATTATTTCCTAGAGTGCGAGTCGTGAATGTGCACTACTGATGAGTTTCATACTAGGATGAAACGGCTGTCCAGTGTTTCAAAGTTTTCAGTGATGATCTAGCTCAGATCAGTTCGTGATTTCAACAGTGGAAATACTACAATCTCCACAAATCCCTTGTACGAATAACATTGTTTTGTGTGTTATAAAATTATAAACATTGATCCGTGTTAATTAAAACAACTATTTGATATTAAACTATGATGAAAACAATTGAAAAGTTGTAATACTCCGCCCGACAAAAGAAACAAAACAGTAGCTTTTAACTGTAAAATATTCCACGGTGTTTTAAGGCGGCATAATGTGAGTATTATACAAAGATGTTTATTGTCAAAGATCCATATTCAAAATTCACCATACTTAGGTGAAAAGGAAGAAACATAATTAACTACACACCATTCAGTTCCACTATTTTAAAATAATTCTAAAACAGTCACCAATAAATGAATTAAAGTATCTCAGATATTACTTGAAATCCAAATAACTAACTGTCAATCATTCATAGTAGAACTATTGACTTCTACTATCAAAAAACTTGATTTAATCAGTTTAAAAGAATGTAGGAAACTTAAGTACCACATTATAAAACTGGTATTCGCTAATTAATTTATTTACGTTCTCATTTGTGAATGTTGAAATGAATGATTTATTATATTACACTGTTTATATATTACATGTTTATCTTGTTACAATACAAACTAATTTCTTCCTAGTAAATATAATCAATCCATTACTACGTTTAAAGAGGTATTTTAACTACTTGATATTACTTATGGAATCAACTTACAAAAGATACATATTCAGAAGTAAAAATCTCAGTTCTTTGCAACTACCCATAAGTAATAAAACAACTTAATTAACTTTATATGGAAAGATGGATAGTGGCTAGCAGTTGAATCCAGGACGTGCGTTTCGTCGTATTTGGGACTCGTCAGCTGGATGTACCTGCATCTCAAAGTGATGTTCACTACGGGACTCGAACCCAGTACCTTTCGCTTCAAACTCTATCGGGTTATCCATTAATTAATTAACTATTCTTATAAAATATATATTTACAGTTCATTCAAATTAATCGAATTGACTTATTAAATATCTGTACAATTACAATCAATACATGAAATGCAATTGGAACGTTTATCGTTTCAGATCAAATATATCAAGTATATAGTACGAACTTAAGATAACCGTCATTACACATAAATTTATTGTTTCGATTTTGGTATAGGGAAAATTAATGCAAAACATTAATGTAATCATCATTCTTTTATTTATCATCATAATGTAACCAAGTTTATTGACAAAGTATCCCATAGCAAGATTCTAGTAACGATGTACATAGTATTAATAATAGTAATAAATGGAAGAAGAAGGAAAGGTAATAACAAGTTTTTTTTCAAACAGATAGTCATAAACCAAAAGGATTGTGAAAGAAATTTCTTATTTATTCATTATCCTTTAGAAACTATTAATATTTCTGATTCACTAAGAAATTAGTAGCTTTATTGACGTTAACTAAAAAAAACTAAACAAACTTAGAAACCGAGATGAAAAAGTATCACGTAATGGATAAATTTACATATGGATGTGGGTGTGAATGACCCTAAGGAAAATCTAACCCAGAACATCAATATTAAAAGGCAAGTATAAATCCAGTACGTTATGTCTTAAAATTTGGTTGGGATTTTATATGATCCAATCACCATGGAAGGTCATTAGTGAATCACTGCCTTATTTGTAATTTGATCGTTCCCTGAAGTTAAGACCTTCTAGAAAATTTCGAGGTATCAGTTTCTATGCCACTCACTGTTGAAAACATGATTCCTAAGTTGAAAAATAAGTAGAGAGTAATTGTTTGTAGATAGTTTCCAACACTTGGCAATATCAAATAATAAACCATTGAAGAACGAGGTATACTGTAAATCCGTTTAGTTCATGCGTTATCATTGACAAACGCCTTTTACTCTTACTTTTAAGAAATGTTTGAATGGGAACATTAACCTTGGCTGAAGTAAACTACTTTCGGCGAAATTGTGATGTATGAAGACATTATGGGGTACATTTTTCTGTCAAAAGTGATTCGAAAGCAAGCCATAAAATTAATTACTGCTTGTTCCAAAGCTTCCAACGAAATCATTTCTAGACGCTAGCAACGTTTAGCAAATTCATAAAAAACTAATATAGAACTACTTTTTGCAGCCATTTCTTTAGAAAAGTAAAATTAATTTATTGTTTCATGTAGCTATCAGTTTACTTATACGATTACAGTTCATGTTTTGCTAAAGCGTAGTCTATTTGTCAACGCCTAATTGGAAGGCAATTGCTCAGTTATAAGCATCTTTAAAATAATAATAAAATTGATTTATATTATCATAGATGAATTTGATTGTTTTTCTTATGGAAATCGTTAATAAACAAAACAAATGAATATATTTTGTAACTCACTTGGATTTTTCAAACGATTCTCGCACACAATTTGACATTTTTCTAATGTATCAAAATGATTTCCACGTGCACCACAACCGGTATATGTATAAGGTTGACATTGACCCAAACGACGATCATAATAATAACGAGTTAATGGTACATACGGGTATTCACTTGTTGTTTGATATTGACCACCAGATAGTGAACATGTACCATAACTATGACTATCCAAACAAATATCCCAAGCTAAATATGGATACATAAAGAATAAACGTAATTAAATGTTTAACAGTCCTGACAATTCAGTATGCTAGTTTGCACTGAAAGATATGAGGCACCATTGAATAAAAGTCTGATAAGAATATATTTATTCAAAACTTTACATAAAAGTTAAAGAGTATATTATAATTTAAATGATATCGTTAATATCTGTTCACTCTATTAAAAGTTTTCTTGGATTCCACTGCTAGCCACTATCCATCTCTGCCTACCATGCTTGTGAATTAAGGCTATATCAAGGCAATACGCCCAGTATGCACATATGGCCAATAAGAAAATGACCAGTTGCAGTCCTAAACATCAATAGGGAGATTCAAACAAATAATACTAAGTGAATTATGTGTGGTATAGATAAAATAAAAAGTCTATTAGTATAAATATTCTGTTTAATTAAGTGATAAAGTTCTACGGGACAAAATTAAGCCACATAATGTACTCGTGTTTCTTCAGTGTATAAATTTAGACACTATAATCCTTTATCATAAATAGAATGACCAATAATACAAAACAATCTAGGTAGATATCATGTGATACTATCACTGGAACATAAATGATACCGATTAATGACCTAAACGTAAGTAAAATTATGCCAGTCATTTCTCGGTTATTTCAAAGAGATTTGTATTAAAAGCCAAGATATCTAGATCTGAGGTTACATTCAAGAGTCTGTATGTACTTAGTATGTAAACCATTTATTGCAATGATCTCTCTTACACTTAAAACAGCATTTGTGTGTTGAACACTTATTCTGACTTTCTTCTAACTTCCTACATTTCTAGTTATAAGTAATTTTATTGTCGGAGGTTGAGAGGTTTTACGACAACTAGTTGGTTGATGAGTAAGTTTTGAAACAAAATGTTCAAGGTCATTGAAAAAAAATTGAAATTTATAACATGACTTCATTGCACAGTTACAATGGTTTTAGCTAGAAGTAGTTAAAGTGTATTCAGTTGAAACATGTGTTTCCAGTTCCACACTTTCTCATTGCCTCAGGATTGAAGCGAATGGTACTGGGTTCGAGTCAGGGAGTAAACATCAATTCTAGGGTGCCGGTATATCCAACTGACGAGTCCCACATAAGACAAGACGTACGTCCTGGATTCCACTGCTAGCGACCACTCATCTATGCTTATGAAGATGCATGTGTTTCTTATTCTATCAAGCAAATCTTGCTGGGATTAGATTCATGTAAGAAATGGGAGTTAAGCTTATCTGTGTTTGCTGTTCAACAACCTTTGTAATCACAGAGTTATAAAAAGTCAGGTTATTGATGAGGAATGTGGCCCAAGATGATGAATAGAAAGAGTTATAGTCATTCAAAATTTTAAAATGAATTTTGCAAAACCACATGATCACAACAGTCAGATTTAAAACCTCATTAATTTTTTCTTTAATTTTTTAACAGGCACTGTCCCGATATGAACTGATGTATTCTGGCGAATATTTTCAAGGGGTCCTTCTAAAGGACGAGAAGAGTTGAATTAATTGATTCAGAGTTTCGGTATTATTTGATTCTCTTATCATCAGTGAATATGATCATCATCATATTGGTAGGTAAATATGATACAAATAAATCAAAATAGAACGAGAAATAATCGCCCTTCTTATGAATCCAAATGTGCAGACAGATACTTTATATGTTTGATAATATTATCTCTAAGGAAGTAGTTTTTTAAATTCAATAGACTGCATGGTTTGGAACCATCATATGGTATGAATTTCTTATTTTATTTTCAATTTATCTTATAGTATCCAAAACAATAATCTGGTGATTTTATTGACCTTTGCGTTTTAGTTTCCAAGTAATATCATAATGACTAAGAAACCTACTTAGAAAAATTTAGAAAACATGAAATTTCATAAAATAACTTACGATAACGATCTGTATGATGTTGTGTAATTTGTTTCATCTTCTCAAATACCTGTGCACTTAACGGTGGAGATTCATCATAACCAATTAGTGTTTCTTCCATTGAATTTTCTTGTGGTTTCGTATGATTTGATGTGCTTAAAATATGTGTTGAAAATTGAGAACATGCTAGTTCACATTCTTTTCGCGAAAGAAATCGATTAAAGTTGCCTAAACAACCACCATATAAAAATACTCGACATTTTGATGTACTACTGTCATAAAAATAACGAGTTTGAAAACTTGTACAGGGACCAGGATCTTTTGGAAGTTGACAAACTTCTACATAAATAAAGATATTATGACAATTACATGTACCTGTTTCTTTCAAAAACCTTAAATTATATATGTAGATTTATGAATGTTGTACTTCGTCTTTGAAAGTTATTATCTTATTACTTGTAGTAGTGGAGTCATCATGATTATCAAAAATAACATTAAAATATGAACCGAGAAATGACTTACTTGGGAACTATAAACATCCTAAATTCACTGAAATCATGATCATGTTTTGATCATATTTCACGAAAATCAATAGACTTTATATTTGTGAGTTCAGGGGATCTTGTAACATTCAGTTTTGATAAGTCTTTTTTCTTAGTATGTTGAATAATTTTGGTAAATATTCAGAATTAAGATTTTGTTTTTAACGTTTTAAGATTCTGGCTTCTTGTGACTGGATTAATTTTCTAGTTAATTCAAGACTAGAGAGACTCCTGTAGATTAACTCCTTCCAACAAACCTTAACATAACTATAGGGCTTAACACCTAGAGATATAGGGACTTCCCGTTTTACTTTATTAGACACGATTAAAATCTATGGTAAAAAGTGAGAAGTTATGTGATCTACAAGTGTGTTATATAACAACCTTAGTTTAAGAGTTGTCACAGTTCACTTATCCTAACAATTGACAAAACTTTCATTTATTCTCAAGTACCAGAAACTTATGAACGTGTATTCTGATTCATACAGATTTTATAGAGGAGTTAGTTGGTTTAACTACATATAAGTTTATGTAGGGCAATGATAACTGTGTTATTATTCAATAATTAAATAGTATAATAAAGCTGAGACTCTTTTCCTACATGTTCATTAAAACTTTACTATAAATCTTCCTGTACCTACTAATGATACGTGTTTAACAAATATTGATCACTACGCAAATCTAAAAAGATAAAGATTTGTGTTTTGCATTTATAACCTATATTTCTGATGACTTAGTAAGATTTGAGTACTAAGACAACAGAAATTGCTGTACACTTTTGATTAACTTTATTTAAATATCCACTGACCTTCGAAACTAGATGCCATACAAGTAGTTTCACATTCACTTCTTGAAGCAAAATTATTTCCAGGTTGTTCAATTATTTGATCGGGATTTGTACATTCAGAAAAACGTACGCATTGATTAATTTCAGGTAGATATGACCAACGATAGGTTTTAACACTTTGATCTGTGCAGTTCCACAAGATATGAGTTTTCCGAGCAAAACAACGATCTTAAATAGGTAAGAAAATTGGAGAAAACAAAACTTAGGCAGCAATTTATTATTCATTGCTATAATGAGAAATATCATAGTATTGCTTTATTTTTAAAAAATTTAAACTTATTTTTGTTTTAGTTAACTGTCCTTCATGTCTTTTGAATCTGAAGACTAAAACACAGGCTCAGAACTTTATTCTTGTGTTATTGTTGTCCGCTAGATAGTATGAATTGTTTAGCTGGCTTCAGTTTCATACTCTAATTATGAATGCAACATATAATCTGCGTTACTTTTGCTCTTCGTCTTATGCATCAACACATAATGCAAATATCAATCATATAAAATGCTAAGTCTAAAAATATAAATGTTGTGCCTAGTTCAAAATTGATTTAACTGCTCTCACTTAGTCCTTGTTAACTCAGATATCTATCGAGGTGATAATGGAAATCAGGCAGCAATGTCAGTAGGTTTTCAACAGAATATCAGAATGTATACTGATTCTACGAGATGCTATTGAATAATCTGTTCGTTTCAAAAATTTAATGCCTCGCCCTTAAATGTTTCAACATTTCACTTAAAGAAACTTCATTTTTCACACTAGAAAAAAAAAGCATTTTTGGCTACTTTCTTTTTATGTTGTGCAATCTGTGAATAGCTTGAGAAAAAAAGCTTTTATTGAATCATTAGTGTCAGATCTGATTGTATAAACCGAAAAGTTACATCCTTTCATATTGAATTTCAGATAAACATGTTTGATTTCGAATCAAAATAATGCTAAACAATACTTAAGAGAGTTAACAGGTAATTGCACTATTCTTTTGATGACATTTTTTAATTACTTATAGTTAGCCTACTTTAAATCAGACGAAGTAGAGTTGCTACTATATGGTTAGAAATTAGTGACCACTGATTAGTTTCTGGTTATTTTATGTGGTTTTCTATTAACACAACAATAAATAAAGCTTACTTTGTAAATGTTTTTCATTTGGTGAAGATTTGACACATTCTCGTAAACAATCATAACCATTTGAAAAGTATTGTTCCATACTACAACCAGATCGTTTTGTATTCAAATGAAAAGCTTTACATGTAGCACTAGACATACTAAAATGAAATGCAATGATATCTTTTTCACTTGATACATCCTGTTGATTACTACCACTTACTGATAGTGTGTAACATTTTTTGGTATGTGGGTTTGAATCGCAACGTTGATCCCCTAAATATTTAATTATATAGAACATAGCAAATAGAAATTATTCTAAATCGTTATAGAAAAATATTAAATACAAGTGTAACGTTAGTTAAATCTATATTAATGATGGAAAAGAAATATTTATTAACAAGTATATCAAGGAGTTGGAAGAGATACATTTTGATGTTTATGGCTTAGTCTAAACTTATGATGAGTTATCATTTGTGGCAACTGACTCTAAAATGACCCACTATCAGTCTTTTTTATTAAAATCGGTCTTAGATGTGCATCTAGTTGAAATATTCCCTTGATTCTTTTTAACATAATTTGGTTTTATAATAAATAGTCCCTCATATTGATCTAGACTGTTCACATGTTTGTCAGGATATAGTTACCGACATGAAATAATCCAATTTAAAATTGATCCTAATGATCTGAAAACATCTGCTTTTATTTTCATCTAACAGTTGTATCATTAGATCTTATTCTTGCTTTTTATTTGTTCCGTTAGCCTTATTTATTCAGATGAAGTAATAATGTTGGTATCATCGTTGCTTATAGTAATAGCAATTTATTATACCGAAAATTAATTTATGAAATAACCGTGTTCACAAATAAAATTAGACTGATTTTTGTACTAAAAATATAACAGAACTTACTATCAGGTCTGACAATTCTAGCTTTACATGCCGCCTGACAAGCTTGAGCATCGTCAAATGTATTTTCCGAAGCGCCACATCCACTATAACTGTATGCTTCACAATTACTAGTGTGAGCATTAAAAAACCATCTTTGGAAATTTAAAAAGTGGCATGTCTGATTACGTCGATGTTCTTCAGAGCAATTTAATGGTCGACAAAAGCCAAAAACAGGATGACGCCGACAGGGTTCAAGATCTAGATAATGTGAAAAATGGATTAGTTTTTATAAATACAAAGTAAAAATACTTACTTCTACCTGAAGTTTATGCTAATGATGTCGTTCAAAATAACGATGAAAGATTCACGACCAAACCATCCACATAAAGAAACTCCGCTAAAATCATCCACCTGACATACAAATCATCACTGTGGAAAACATCATTTATTTATTCAAAAACACTGATTACAAACTGATAAATCCATCTTTTAGCCGCAACTTAGATGAAAATATTTGCCGCTTGAGCTCTTTTATATTATTACACTGGTTAGTTCACTGTCATTCAGAAGATTTTAAGTAATTCTTAATAGAAACTAAATCAGACTTATGTTTAAACATGTACCCATGTTTCACTTACAATTATGTTAAAAAATGCTTCTGATTGTTGGAGATGTTGAATCCCCAGAACTCACTTTGTAAATGACTTATTTTTGTAATTTTATTTTGAAAATTTAAAAAAATTTAAAATTTTTTTCGCTCCTTACAGCTTCGAAATATGCGAAAAATTTTCATAATACACAACAAAGTACTAGTTTGAGCATAGATTTAAAACAATTTTGCATAAATTTAAATGTTAACAGATTGCATTATACATTTATCTAATGTTTTATTAGTGAGTTTATATATAAACATTCAATTTAACAATCTATGGTCATATCCCAATGAATAGAAAAATTAGATTTTCTGACGTTTCGTGATTCAGTGAAGCCACTTCTTCAGAGAATAAATAACCAAATTTGGTTATTTATTACAAATATATTAATTTATTTAAAACAATCTACCCAATGCTCAATTTATTCAAAATTATCAAATCAAGACTTGGTAATGATACCTACAATCTATGGTCAGTTCAAGTTGTTATGATACTATTTAAAGGCAGCTAGATCACAGTGTAGGTTATGATGAAAAAGAAAATAAAACAAATTATATTCAATTCCTGTTGTTTAGTAAAATTTTCAACCTAGGCAGATAGGTTTTTATCATATAAATTATCATCTGTTAGTTATTCTTCAAGAGCTTCAAGTGACTTTCTTTTAAAATTAATCTTTTAATGGACGAACAAATGATTTCAAAGTTTTGAATAATTATTCTGAATATAAAATATGTAGGCAAAACTGTTAAATTTAGCAACAACAACAACAAAAATGTTAACTGTAGAACATTTATAAATTAATTTTAATAGTTGAGATCATGAATCAATGGAAGCTAGATCACTATGGAAAAACTGGAAGCACTGGACGGCCGTTTCATCTTCTTGTGGGACTCCTCTGCAGTGCCCAACCACGATCCCACCTCTCGAGATTCGAACACAACTATTAAAATTACTATAATATCCACAAAACCCTTTTTGATATTAATTAACATATGCTCACTAGTGACTGGCTTCAAGAGGTATTTCCTGGTGATCTAGTGAGAAGTAGCGACCAGTGGAGTTCAACCGGGTCTGTTGTGAGATAGTAACTCACTGAAGAAAATGGTGGACGGTTGCTCAATTTCGCGGATTGATTGAAGTTAGACATTAACACCGTTGGATGCCGGCCTGCTCATTGGTCTAGATGTTAAGCGTTCGCGGGCGAGACTGGAGGTACTAAGTTCAGATCTCGTGAGGCGGATCCATGGAAGTGCACTGATGAGAAGTCCCACAATATTATGCCAAAAGTATAATTTTGAATGAAGACAATAACAATAAAATTACAATGGATGTTTTTTTTCTTTTTGAGGGGATAACTTTCGTGTCATCAAGTAAATAGTTTTATCTAATTCGTATCTTATAGTATAGTCTATAGTCACCTAATGGCAATGCTGTACAAACGGATAAATGAATAATCATTTAAAACGTAATATTATTAAGAGTACAAACTGATTAACACATACCAATATTCATTAAGGTTAGCTTTGTCATCTTTTTGACCAAATTATTATGTATAGTTTTGTTTGATTCAGTGATTACCATTGTTGACTGATTATTGTCTTTATTTCGAATAGGTTCATATCGTGTCGTTACATTATTCAGTCCTTCCACAGGATCAATATTAATTTGTAGCTCAACTTTTGTATTAAATTGACATGTTAATTCACATGCAGCTTGAGTTGGAAATCGATTACTATTTCCACCACATCCAGAATAATTGAACTGTTTACAACCACCAATCAAGTAATGATCTTGTCCATCCATATTCATCACCCAATTAGGATCATAATACCACATAGTTTTGTATCCAGTACATTCACCAAATGAAGGTTTCAATTTACAAATAGCTATTAAATAAAAAGAAACTTTGTTTTATTTTTTATTTCTTCAGTTTTTCCTTGAAATAATCATCATTGAAAAAGTTAAATTAATTAAAATTTATTAAAACATGAGCCTTACACACGTAACCGTAAATTTTTTTTAATAAATGCACCATAAACAAATAGATATGACATTATATAGTAAGAATATGTTTGTAAAATCTCAGCGAATGAATTTAAAGTAAATCCAGCGGTTCACCTGGCAATCTAGTCCAATCTTTTTCAAGGATATATTTCCTTACATCAACTTGGTGCCCAAATACTGTGAAACTATTCGCTCTAATTTAGGCGAAAGTTCTTATAAATAGATATGACATTTTAAAACTTTCATGTATTGTACTTTCAAATTAAATCATACTTTTAATTCAAGACATATAAAATATCAAGTTCATAATATGAAACGAAAGAAATAATTGAAGGTTGGAGAAAAAATCCACAAAGCACATTTGATATATTCCCTATTGTTGTTAACAAATGCTGCAATCTATAAATTATATAATAGTCTTTCAAACAATACGTAATCACATCGACGTTTTTACATGAATGAACATATAAAGTTGATAATATGATTAACTTCAACTTTCCTATAACCTTTTATCTCACTAATAAAATGTGACACTTATATCACGCTATGCAATAAATACTGCTGAAATCAAATGGCTCATAATCATTATCATAGGAGAGCTGTATAACAGAAATCTTATCACAAATTTGTTGTTTTAGAATTTGTTTTTTCACTCAGATTGATAACTGTAAACTGTTATATCCTGGTGAAGACATGAGTACGGGTAACTTCCGAGACCTATTAGTGAACTATTATCCTATATATATTCTTATTGTATAACTAATGAGTAATTAGATTGTGTATATCTATATTTATCTTATTATAAGGTTCATTTTGACCTATGGATTATTATTATTATTCGAAATACTGTTCCTAAATTATATTCAGTTTACTGATTACTGTCTCCCACATTCACAGCCACATTTGGCTTGATCTTGTACAAACATTTTCTATTTTATGGCGTGATGCGGTCTGTCTGTCTAATATATAAACCGAGTATGCTTGGAATAAATGAATCGCATGGCAGAAGCTGTAATTGGTGTTCTGGACTCAATTTAAAGGGCTAGGCGGACAAGGGACCAATAAGGACGCTAAACTGCTCATACTGGTCGGACGCCACTGATTTGGCAAAGTGTTAAGGTTGGAAAAGTTGTATTTCTATTGGTGGATAATTTACGTGATAAAAGCCGGACATAAATTAATAACGAATTGGCATACGGCCTATTTTTTATAAAGTCATAACAAATCGGCGACGGCCTTCTATAAAGTCACAACATAAACTTTGTAACTGCTTCACAGTTTTAGTCAATACTTAACAAATTAGACATTTTTCGAATATAAATATTGTTAGTACGATACTAACAAATTGTTCTTTTTTATTTACAACAAACACATTTTCCTATTTAGACTAAGTGCAATGATATGTTCTCTAATTCATTCTTCGTTTATTATTCATTAGTTTCCTAACCAATATTAAGTGAAGAATCTGTAATCATAAAAAGCTCCTTGATACATTGTTAATCAGTCTCATTAGTAGTATGTAACCTTTAATTAAATATTTATTGGTTTTTAAATAAACTCTTCATGAAGCTTTTCTAGGTTTACTGCTGCAGCCAAGCCCGACCAAAAGAAAAATTCTGGAGGATGAGTTAGTAATTCCATCCCGTAGAAAGGAACTTTGCTAAAAAGACCCCAAGACAGTTCTGTTCTGTGGAGTTACAAAGCGTACAACTGATGAAACTATCACCAAATGGGTATAGGTATTTACGAACTGCTATCTATGCAAGATACTCTTAATATGTTATCCTGGCACCATCGGCAATAACCTACTATGGCAGAGAATAAATCAACTTTCGGCTTAGTAGGGAATTGGGAAAAGACGCTGAGGGTGGATAGGTCGCACTTTTTAATAGTCATCAAACTCCATCACGAGGCAAGGCTTAACTTCGGATGCTCAAAGCAAAACGAAAAGAGGTAGATCAAAAAACACTTTACACTGAGAATTGGGTACAGACATCAGAAAAATGAATGGTACTTGGCAACATATGGGAACGAGATCACAGTACAGAGAAGGTTAGAGATGGCCGTTCAGTGGCTTTTGCTATACAAAGGGTAGCAGTAAGTAAATTTTCGAACCAAGAGACACATAATGAAATGAAATTATAACAAACCTTTATATCGACTTCAATCTACAAAATGGCATTGGTTTACTTACCTGATATATCAGGTTTTGTAGCCCCACAAAATTGTTCACAATCAGCTCGTGTTAAAAAGTTATTTGAAGATCCACCACAATGGGAGTATGCAAATTCCTGACACTGATTTGTTTCAACATCAAGATACCAACGTGATTCATGCTGACCGACATTCGCACACTCTGGTTCAATGCGCATAGCGTCAATATAGGTGAGATTGTCAAATAGAATAGGTTCAGACTTTTCTTTAGAATAAAATTGACCATCATAGCTAATTTCACTCCATGTATCCATTTCTATTCTTGACCATTGTGGAAATAACTGAGTTGTTGGCGCTACTTGACAAAGCTGACTAGCCACTAAAAACAAATTAAATCAGAATAAACATAAAAATATGAACTGTCTGATTTCAAATCCGTTGTTTAAAGGTTGAGCACTTGTTGACGTGATCAAAAGTGCTCTCTAATGAGAAATATTAAACTACAAGAAAATAGAGATTTAATGCTTTATTGGTTATCGATGGTTCCCTAGTTGATGTAAGTTCATGACAAGAGCTGTGTCCAAAATAGTATCTACTCGGGTGAGCTTCATGACCCATTAAAGAGATACTGTACAATGATTAGCAAGAAGGATGCTAAATAAAATGTTAATTAATAAGATTTGAGCCAAACTATGTCGACGGAAAACTTCTTAGTAGATCAAGTGTTAAATTTCTGCTCAAGAAGTGTGTTGATAAAGAATAAGTTGAATATAACCACTGGGAAAACTGATCCATTCTATTTGAACATAATCTTACTAAAATTTCTCTCAAACAAATAAATATGATACAAGTCTTCATTTTCGAGGGAATTTATCGATCGCTTGACCATCTTACAACTTAGCATGATAGATACACCTAAATATTTGACGCGTTATATATGAATAATCAACTATGACTAAAAATTTCCTCTTAAAAGTAGGTAACTTTACACCGAATAGTGAACCTCTGAAGAATCCATTTATAAATGATAATTGAATATACTATTATTTTCTAACAAGCATATTAGGACTTAATTCAGTTTTCAAAATTACTGAGTAAAACAAAGTGAACTATGATATGATTGTTAAAAAACACTATTTCTTTGATGATTATGATTATTACCCTGAAGAAGTCCAGACAAGTTAGCTGGACGAAACGTTGGAATTATTTAAATTTCAATCGCTGAGATTATTTCAAATATAATTTTTCACATATAATGACTTCTCTATACTCGGCGCCAATTTTTTTTAAGCTATTCGTTCTAATATTGACGAATATTTGTATAAAGTGAACTAGGAGTTCAAGATATCATTATATCACGAAGCTTGAGCTCTTTAAGACTTACTCTATTATCATAATAATCTTTTTTATAAGTTATACGTTTGCATTATAACTTTAGAACTACAATAATTGCAATGATGCTTTATTCATCTACAAAATGTTTTGCACAAAATTTTAAATATAAATTAATTGTTATCAACTTACCAAGTAAAATTTTGTATGCAATCAAATTTCCACAAGTATTTTCACATTCTGTTATAGATGTAAAACGATTTGCACTGCCTCCGCACCCATAATAGGTAAACCAGCGACACTTTCCAGAGACTTTATCGAAATAAACCATTAGAATTGGTCGTATAGTCTTTTCTGTATTCACAGCGGAACAACGAAAATGACCTGCTTGGGGTGGAGCTAGACATCGAGCAGTACCTGTATCATTAAGAAAATACTTTCAGAATAATTATTTATTATAGCCTCTTATGTAATGACTAGAAGTCTAAAATATGTATGTCAGATATATTTTGGGACGAAATTAATCACGAAATACTAAACGCAGTATATCGTTCTTAGTCATTGTATGCATTGTGGTGGATGCAGCTTTTACCTTGTTAAATGTAAATTTTATGACCAGATACTATAAAATCCAATCTAAAGATAATTCCGAATACCTAGTAGTAAACATGAGGCAAATCTAAAAATACAATAAACTTACATCATCTTACCTAGTTCTTTTATTCGAACAACGTAAAAAGTTTTAAATGTACTACTACAGATAGGTTACGTTGTAAGCTAACTTGGTCCATCACTTGTTTTTTCTGATTTCGAACCTACCTATATTTATGTACCCAACAAACCACGTGGGATTAGATCAAGTTACTTTCAATCTTATGGCATGCACTATATTGTTCAGCCATTTCTAGAGAATAATTGACTAAATAATTACGATATTCTGATTAGTACCTGTGTTCCATAGTCTCGGTGAAGAGCCATAACCTGTCGAATTAGCAACATTGTGAGTAGGAAAGTTACCCATATATGGGACTTGATAGTGGTTATTTATTGTCTTGAACCGGCTGTAGTTTAAAGATGATCGCTATCAAATTTGAGCTCATTTGTCAACTGAAGTCAATTTCAAAATCTGAAGGTCTTGATTTCAATTCAGTGTCAGAACGTAATTATTCACTGATGATGAGATCGAATTCAGGAGGAAACAGCTGTTCAATAAGCATTCGACCCAATGCTTCAGCTGGGAATCATCATGGTTTGCGTTCAATTCTAAGTAAGTACAACAAGACATACAGTAATAACCAACTTAAAGTTCATAAAAATAAGGCATCATACTGACATTCAAAAACCAAATTGATTCAACTGTACATAATTGTTGAGTTCCAACTGTGCCTACACAAAATTAACTGATATAATATAACAAGAAAAAAAATACCTGGATTACATAGGTTATTATTAAATGATAATTTGCTTAATATAACGACTACTACAGAAATAACCTTTGTATATAAACATAAAATAAGCATAAGAGACAGGAAATAGAAAGTTCATAATTAAAATGAAATAACTACTTTTCATCTTAAACTTGTTAGCAGAACATGATGACGAAAACACTCGTGAAGAAAATACAGTTGTTCTGGAGTGGAAGCCTGTCTTTTGGCGAAATTCTATCATTTTTGAACAATGAGAGGCGTGCTACGCTCATATGATTTTGAAATGGTAGAGAAAATGTTTAGCTCAGGTGAATGATTTTGATAAAGTTTTGTTTTCTGGGTTGAATGGTTTGGTCGTAGAGCTTTTATCGTTCTTCTAAATGACATCATCAGTAAAACCTTCAGGTGGAAGTCTTCTACTTAACTTCTACTTGACATTTGTGCTCATACTGTCGTACAGAAGAACGATGAAAGCTCTATGACCAAACCATTCAACCTAGAGAACAAAACTTCACAAAAACTTGTCACCTTAATTGCTTTTATTTCAATAATGGTAATTATTATCTTCCCTAGGTTATCCTTCATTATATTAATCATATCTGTTTATTGATGACAAAATCCAGTCGATATAAATTATCATGTCTATTGAATATTCAAACGAACTATATCCTTGAAAATCTATGAATCCCTATTCTTTTTTAATAACTAACTGTATCTTTATAGCTGTAATTTCTGAGATATTTTATCTGGTATATTTGCATCTGTTCCATGTTATCATGGAAAGGAAAACTAAACAAAACAAATAATACCTCTCCAGTATTCACATGTTTCAATGCATTCATTTTTAGTTTTGAAATAATTATCATTTATGATACAATCAGATGTATATTGACACTGCATTTCAGTTGGATTGTAATACCAACCACCTTGATGTTTTAAATCCATATCTGTTAGTTTATTACATATTTTTATTTTTGGATATTGATAACATTTTTCTGTAAACAAAGAAAATAATTAACAATGTAACTATAGAATTCAATAGTGTGGAAACAAATGACAATAGTCCAAACAAGTTTTTAATTAAAAACATTTATACTACTACATATTGGACAAGTAGGTCAAGATTTATAACTCATTTAGTTAATGGTAATTAACCTGCAGTTGGCATTTGTGTATCTATGCTTTTCAGGGTAATCTAAGTCTTATAACTGTAATCGCTAGTAGAAAAACTAAAGCTTGACAGGTTAGTTATTATTTATTAAGTCCATTAACAACTGGAAGAATATTTCGACCATGATATTAAGATTGAATGTAGTTACTTTTAAATAGTCTACAGTAACTTAATACCTTTAAACAAGAGAATTTATTCTCTGTGTTGCTTATAACTCTCATTAGATTGTATGGAGATTGTGACAAACAAACTTGTGACTTAATTACTAGTGTACAATCAGTATTTTTAGTTTATCAATAAGAAATCGTAAGATTAACTCAGTAACAGAAAACAATCTCGTCCAACTGGATTTAAGCGGGATGCGTTGTATGAAAGCTGAATTTACTAATTTGTTTCTCAGGTCAAACTGATTAGAACCTGTTTAAACTGACACGATGAAAAAGAATTAAGTCTGATAACTAGCTCTTAACTCCACTGACAAACGTGAGACCAACAAAACTCATATCCACCAGTCGTTTATTTACAAATGTTTATCTAACTTCGCCTGTTTTTTGTCTAACGTCTTGTGTAAAGTTAAGTAATTTTGTTGGAAAACTATGGGCTAGTTTTCTTGACTTTTAATCGCAATTTACTCAAGGAATTGAGTTGATAATTCGAATAAGTGAACAGTTGTTTTTTGGGCACATCATATCATTGTGTATTATCAATCGACCAGCATTCGGTTTGTTTATTTTCACAGTCTAACACTTCATCGGCATAATGCTTTCAGAACTATCCTTCATAACACGAATCAATGAAACTCAGCTCCGTTTACATTTATTGTCAGGCAAAAATCCATGGACTGTTTTTAATTTATTTTTAAAGTTGAAAGATTTTAATATTTATAGTTATTCAAGTATACTATAGGGAAAAATGCTTCAAATGCTTTCGATTAATATTTAATACGTTAAAGTATTCAACAATCAATTTTAAATTGGATCTATGCATACTATAACTTATGAATAGAATACTCCTATGTGTTATGTATGCAACGTTCTAAAGAGAGGTGATACTTTAATTACAGTTTATAAATCCATGTTACCAATAAATCCAAATAAACATAAAACATTTACTTTTCGACAATTTTAATTTACTTCCGAAAGGTTTCAACACTCATAAAAAAAGATTGACAACAGAAGCGCTGTATATATGGGTGAATAAGAACAGTCTAAACAGAAAGGATGGTATTCAACTAGCAACCATTTGGTAAATATTCTTCAACAAGTAATTTGACCTTTTCTTTATTCAACCTGTTTATTTATTTCACATGAATCGTTATTATGACTGAAATCAATATGAGTTAGGTTTAGCATTACAATTACGTACTTGATGTTTCTCAATTTTATTTGCAATTCAATGATTCGGAAACAATTTTTCAACCTTCATTTTGCACTTTTATTCTTATTTTTACTTCACATAAAAATAGAACACCGAATATCATTCATGAATAACTCATTCTTACACATACATACACACACACACAATTCATACAGTCTCCTTTTATTTCACATCGTTGAACTTTTCACTAGATTCTCATTCAACTGACTCATATTATCCCATTTACATAAATTCAACATCCAAATATGATTGGTTTAACGTAGTATAGATTTTGATATGATCGTTTAAAAAAGCACTGTATATTTCTTTGATGATTTTGATCTTCATTATTACCCTGATGATGTCCAGACAAGTTAGCTGGACGAAACGTTGGAATTATTTAAATTTCAATCGCTGGAACTATTTCAAATATAATTTTTTACATATAATGACTTCTGTATACTCGGCGCCCAATTTTTGTCAAGCTATTCGTCCTAACCTTGACGAATATTCGTATAAATTTTAATTTATCTTTAGTCAAACAACTGAATAAGTAACTCAAGTTTCCTTAATTATTCTTAACAAATTCGGGTATCCATTTTAAGCTCACTATATAACTAGTGAGTAGGCAAAGTTTCGAATAAAATTCTTCATTATATATATATATATATATATATATATATATATATATATATATATATATATATAACACTTCGTCAGTGTCTATATCACTCCAGTAATATTACATGATAAGTAGACATTAAGCACAATAACTTAATGATGAATGTGATTGCAATCATAAACAAACCCAATGCAAAATGTACAAACTGAATATCTCAGTCATAATGTTTACCTCTTACTAACTTTATGACTCTTATTTTAAAAATAAAATAAATCACACACTTTATTCATTGTTATTCTTATTATATTCATAGTTTAATGCAATGATATTTTTGGCTAAGAACTTTTAGGAACATTTTAACTTGTTTATAAAGATTATCATATTGATTATTACCATAATTATTACTGTTATTGACTACTACCATTAAATGAATATGAACAGATACAGTTCATTGTATGTCTATGGATATCTAAATACTTGGATACAATGTCGTATGGTTAGATAGATAGATAGATAGATAGATAGATAGATAGATAGATAGATAGATAGATAGATAGATAGATAGATAGATAGATAGATAGATAGATAGATAGATAGATAGATAGATAGATAGATAGATAGATAGATAGATAGATAGATAGATAGATAGATAGATAGATAGATAGATAGATAGATAGATAGATAGATAGATAGATAGATAGATAGATAGATAGATAGATAGATAGATAGATAGATAGATAGATAGATAGATAGATAGATAGATAGATAGAAAATGGTAATTAGGATTCATATGGAAAATAATACATTTTAATTGTTTATAAAATAATCTAATTTTAAATTCAAATTAATTGAGCTAAATATTACTTAACAATTAGATATATCGAGTATGTGAGAAATTTTAAGAATTAACAAATTAAGAAGCCTAGGATGAAAACAGATCCTAGAAACAGGGACTAATGAAAATGTACTGTGAAGGTGATGTTAACAAGAAAATTTATGACACTCATTTAAATATGAGGTCTACGAACAACATTTAAGTTTCATCTTTATGATCGGTCACTTAGAACTTACTGGTTGTTTCTACGCTAAATATAAAAAGTCCTCTAAAGAGTAAGTTATATTTAACGCATAATTAGACAGTGTATTAGTAATATAGAGCTTAGTTTCTGTTTTTTTTAAACCGAACATTTTGTTGACACAAATACATTTTATAACTGACAGACAACTGTGAATTAAGGTTTCGTTGATTGCAACACTAACACATTCTCACTTGAAAATGAAACTTATACTGTTTCATTTTGATGATAGTTTTGAGCTCAAGCATAGCCGATAAGAACTTTAGAAACAAAGATCTTAGCATATAAAGGTGTGTGACACTTTGAAGCGCTTCAGCAGTTTAGATATTTTCAAACTTTGGGGGAATGAAAATAGTTTTTTCTAGTTTTAGATTCTACTTGATACTATTTAACTGCTAATCTGTAGTCCATAAATAGGTATTTTTTTCAACTATAGATGATATTTGATAAAAAAAAGCTTCATTTTTCCAACATCATCTCCGTTTTTTTTGACCTTATGACTTTATGCCTGTTACGTGGTAATAACAGCATATTTAAGTTATTGAGGTAATAATAGGAAGCCTTATTTTGGAGAACAAGACTTTATGACTATTAGATCGATTTTAGTAGAATTTGTATATAGCTGACGCGTAAACTCGTAATCGCTGTTACATTTCTTATTTAATTTTGTAACTAACCCTGTAATATCAGTGAAATTGCATACGTACACATATTTTTGTATAAATAACAAATAGTAAGGCATTACAAGGTCATATAGGTTGATGAAAATAGCCAACTTTGATTGTATATACGAATACTATATGAAGCTGATAAACCTACAAAATAAATGATAATAGTGTTCGTACACACGATTAGTTTTATTTAATTAAAACAATTTATATGATGATTGATTTAATCTTTTTTCAATGATCATGAATTCAATTATTATTGGAATATTATTGGAATTTTCATTCGGTTAATCAATATATCAATAATTTCATTTTAATGATATGTAGATAACTGGAAAACACCGACGGTTAGCAATTCATAACATAATGATATGTAGTTACTGTCCCCAAATGCCCCAGTACAGCCAAGGGTAGAGAGTCCGCTCTCCCTCTCTAAATACTTTCACAGACCATGCGTATACAGCCACTGTCAGGAAAGTCCTACTCACTGCCTTCTCGTGGCATTACTGTTGTTTACGAAATTGAGAAGACGAAAAGTGAATGTCCGGAGCGTCTTGGTAATCGGTGTTCAGGCATACGTAACACATGCCCTGGTACGGCCAAGAGTGGGGAGAGTCCGCTCTCCCTCTCACATGGCCACGCGAATATATAGCCTCTGCCAGGGAAGTCCTACTCACTACCTTCTCGTGGCATTACTGTTGTTTACGAAATTGAGAAGACGAAAAGTGAATGTCCGGAGCTTTAACCGGGTTGGTGGACACGAATAGTCCACCTAGGGGAGTTGAAAAACTCTCATTCCAAACCTATTGTGCACATGGGCTCCAGGATCCTGAGGGAACAAATGGCGTATCAATCAATCGTTGGTCACCGGCTACCATGGAACTGCATGTCCTCACGATACTTCACTGCCTTGTCGATCAGACCTTTAGGTCAAAGGCTCGGGGTGTGGTCCCCTAAGAAAACCACCTGCTTTAGTTTGGGTACCTGGGCAGTATCACAACCCACACACAAATCAAATGAGATTTGTGTGGCGCATATATATCTGGTGCCCCTTTGTACCAATATTTATGTGTTTAAATAAATAAATAATAAATAAATGTAGTTACTATAAAATACTGATATTTGATTCTTAATGAAATAAGATTTTTGTGAACACTAGTTATGCAAATTACGAACGTTTGTCTGTAGTTATGACTTGATTATGGTAAACTCTATTCGATTAATTCATCATGATGCCTTTGGCTACAAACTGTCTGTACAATAATAGTTTTTAGCTTGAGAAACAGTTAAGTCAAATGATATTTGAGGTTTTTCTGTGGAGATTGTAAGTAATTTTTGTATATAGTCGAAATCATGAATCAATTGAAGCTAGACCACCGTGGAAAACCTGGATGCTCACTGCTGAGGAGTCCCGCAATAGGACGAAACGGCCGTCCAGTGCTTCCAGGTTTTCCATGGTGGTCTAGCTTCAATTGACTAATGATTTTAACTATATATCAAATGATAGTATTTAGAATATAGTGGTCACTCTAGTTGTTATAACTCAGACAAAAATAAATATTCTCATATATAGTAAATTAATTTAGTCGAAGAGTACAACTTTAAGACTTTATGAAGTTATTGTTTAAAAGAACGATTTTTGACAGAAATAGTTTTGTTGTTGTGACAGAATGATAGTCTGTAAACTATTCGCGAGAAACTTCTTTGATTACTAATGGGGTAAAGTAACAAAGGTAAAATAACATGATCGTTTGTTCTTTTCTTCAAAACTACTGAAAGACTATCAGCAGTTTTTATGGATAAACACTAGAAAACAGGCTAACATGGTGTCGTTAGTTACACTATAAGCTTAGGTTTATACAAGTGATTTATAATACTCATTTACTCCATGCAAGTACATACCATCGTAATTAATACATCTACAAAACAAGACATATATCCGTGAAAGTCAAAAAGATCCACTTTCATGTTTAATGTTAAAAAGTTTAAACCTAGAAGATAGTAGCATCTATTTATCCTTCAGCTAATCCGTCACAATTTATAGAAACGCTCATTTATTTGTAGTGGAAATTACTTTCAAATTCAGACGTAAAAAATGCATTTCATTGTAGTAATTGGCATTAGAAAAATAATGTAAAGTGCTTTATTTATAATACAAGTGAGAATTTTAATGTAGATAATTATTAATCCCTCTTAATCATACATGTTATAATCATGTTATGAATAAGAAGTGAATATAATATTTAGATTAGGGTTAGTCAGTAAGTTTTAAAGTTAAGATATGGCATCAGATGTGAATAAGTACCAGAATTGTGAACTATAAAAATATTCATCTCCTGATTCTTTGGGAAAGTATAAAATATAGTTAGACAATTATTAATTATTTTTGTGGTTTACTGCCTAAATGTATGAGTGACATCCATCATTTACAGTAATACTGTTCATAGTGAAAATCATTCTTTATATAATTTGGTATGATTTTACATTCGCAATATCCAGATCCAGTAATTCCTTATTAGTTTAACGTCAACTGATGGATACTATCTGAATTATTTGATTTCTTTCAAAATGTTTTAATAAGAATGAAAACTTACGAAGGCTTATAACATTTCACTTATACTTGGGTCCGCATGCATTTAACTTTATTAAGACCTTCAATTAAATTATTAAACAGACAATGCCATTCAGTTAGTAAAAATCGGTATATATCTTTGTATGTTTATGATCATTTTTGGATGAGCACCTATGCTTGATCATGTGTTAGAGCCTACATACATATTCCTCTTACTAGCATAATTGTTATTTACTTAGGTTGTTCGATGTCTTATTAACTTGCTTACATATATGTGCTTCTGAAGTCCATTCATTCAAATTCACTTTTCTGTTATTATTCGTTTTGTGTACATGTGGCTTTATGATCTACTCTGTACAATATTAGGTTTTAGTTAATGCTTCGTATCATCTTCTGAAAATTGTACGACATTAAGAGTAAATTAATAGAGGTCATCAGGACGAGTGATGTATGAAGAATAGGAATCATTACGAGGAAATTTCACCGCAGATTAATGTAATTAACAGCTCGATTGGAGTTCTCAATCCTGAATGCACTGATAATATGTTCCAAAATATTATCCAAAAAATACTTGAAATTAATGTATCGAAAAATCAGTTATTAAAGTAGTCTCATTGATTAATAGTATATTTAGATAATAGTCGTTTATATTCCTTTAAAGGAAAATACATTTTCTAATGTAAGACAAGCAGTGAATATATAACTAAAATATCAGGTTTTATAGAAAGTAGATTAACAAACATACCTATCAAGACATTTCTTTCGTAGGTTCGTTCAACTGGTTGACGGTTGGTAGAGATACTTACAAGTTTTATTATAGATGTTTTCTCATGCGCACTGGTATTGCTATCACTTTGTAATGTTGTGCTTAGAGAGATTGTATCAGCCAAAATTTCAGTAACTTGGATGTCTTGTTTGGATAACTCTGACGAAGGCTTGTCTGTATTCAATGAAACTTTCATTTCATTAGTTAGTACTTCTGGTACTATTGTTGTTTGATCTAATTTTTGATCAGTCCCTTCGAGTTCCTCAATTTTGTTCAGAATAATTTCATTTTTGTTCCCTAAGATTTCTTCCGTTACATTAACGTGCTCTTGCGACTGACTAGGTATTTCGACAATGTCGTTTGGTTCTAGTATATAATCAGAATACAAACTTTCATCTGTATCAGTAGAGTGCCTGGAAGGTATGTGATCATCAGTACTGAGACTTAAAACACCTAGATTATTATCCGTTGTAACCAAAGATAAGGTTTCTTCAGTTATCGTATTTAGTAACGGTTGTGATTCAGTACTTTCTGTAATACCGATTCCATTTTCATTCTCAAAGTTACTCGATTTGATGTGCAGAGCAGTAATTATTTCTATATTATCATCTGAGTCCTTTGTTTCAATCTCGAACCTGTAAAGAGAAGAAAAATATAGATTTTGGAAGAAAAATCTTTTATTTCTCGAAATATACTTAAATCTTTACTTGTGTTTAGTTTCAGATAATAGACATAGCTGATGAGGTGATTGACATCTAGGTTTTATATGGTTCAAAGCTCATCATTATCACCAATCTGTAACCTCATATGATTTCGTAAAGATGTGCATATTAGAAAAGGAACCTCATCAGACACTGAATTCGTTCTTATAAAGGTATCTAAAAATCTAAATTCATTCCCATTTCGTATTTAAGATTGTGTTTTGGTACTTATATTTTGCTAAAAATGAGATCTATCCACTAATATAAGTAGTGCTTTATTAGGTTTCACTACCCCCAACTCATGGTCTGAAAAGTCCGGGAAATGAAAATTTCACAGATGCGATAATCTTGATGGTCTTGTAGTAGTATTCCGACATGAGACAACGGGTTTTAAGCGTTCTTTATGCCCTAACGTTTCAGGCTGGGTTATTTCGTTTACTACCCTACATATGTGTTGTATACAGCATAAGCTATATTGCCATGTAGAGCTGAAGGTCTCATATGAGACTGAAGGTTCTCCATTGACATTGTGGATGGTTTGGAATTACTTTGGCAAGTTTTGCTGACTGTTCATGTGCAAAACTGGTTTGCTGGTAAACCGATTTCATTCATACTGGTGGTTGCTTTACAATGTTCTCAAGGGCCACTGTCATTGGAACATTGTAAGGCATGTCGCCATTGATAACAATAATGATTTTGACTGTCGTGTAAGCAGAACGGTTCAACTTTGGCCTGTTCATGCTGTGCATAATTGGTTTAAGCGATCATTAATCGGGATAATTATACATGTGATATGAATGTGTATATAAATGGTGCAAATGGTCCATCGGGATGCTTGGTACCTATGTGGTTGAGCCACAGGATTGAGTTGTACTTTTCAGATTGTAGCGTTGAAGCCTATATTGTTTCTGGTTCTTCTGTAAGGCGGGATTGAGCTGTACTGTTTGGGTTGTCACGTGAAAGTCTGAATGGTGTCTGGTTCTCCTGAAAACCAATGCAAAATTACCCTGGCCCACAAAGGTATACATATATACATCCATCGATAATTAAAATCAGAAACCAGAGTATAAAAAAACTGACAATTAACAAACATTTCGTCAGTACCATTAGTTTTGAGTTGTAAAGGGGAAATAAATCTAGCACGTTTCAAACGTAAACTAGACTAATATTTCTATTTTATTCATACTTACATAATACAAGCTTTCAAAACTTATCATTCAATCTCCCATTTATAGCAAAAAATTCTGAAATTAACATTTATAAAGCTTGAATTTCATTGAATTTCAATTCATTAGTATACCTGTCATAACTAAACACAGCATATGAAGTTGACTTTTTTCAACTAACCCCAGATCTCTTTCATTAAAAGTAAAATTATTGTTAATAGAAGCAACAACTTTTTGCAAACCCGTGTATCATCATCAATATAGCTAGTAGGTGTGTCAATTGTAGACTAGATCTACTTATGTTATAAAAGGTTCAGAAAATCTTCATGAACCAACCAGCTAGTTTCTGATGACTACCAAAGGTTATTCTCGTAGAAAGATACTTTCAATAAATTTTTTTCTAATTCCATACTGAATTCATTTAGTGACATAATTTCAAAGTGGTGAATAACCTAACATTCCAAATCTTTAGAAGGGATTCTTGATATTATATATTTGTAAAATGAAGACTCATCACTTTTGCCTCAATAGCAAATATCATCCACATTTGAGATTCGACTGTTATATTAAATGTATCAACTACAACAATTTTAACTACAAATCTTTCCAACTTCACATATGTGTGATTAAAAAAACTACACAGTTTATAGAAATATGAATATAAACCCTGTTTTTAGATATGATTCGTGAAATCACCTCTTCAAATTTATATAAAATGTTTTAGGAGCACATTTAAACTTCCTATATTAACCACCAAAGGTTTTATTAGAGTAATAAATAATGATTAATAATTAACAATTATCAGAAGGGGGTTTTGTGGAGATTTTAGTAATTTTATATAGTTGAGATCATGAGTCAACTGAAGCAAGACCACCATGAAAAACCTGGAAGCCCTGGACGGCCGTTTCGTCCTGTTGTCGGAATCCTCAGCAGTGTGCATCCACGATCCCGCCTCGCATGATTCGAACTCAGGACCATAAAATTACTGAAATCTCCACAAAATACACAAAAAGCAAACAAGCAGAATGAAATAATCATTTTGGAATACACTACAAGCCATTAATAGAAATCATTATAACGACGGAAGAAACCCATTGTAAAATAAGAAAACAATTAAAATAATTCAACGAAGAAAACTTCCCATATGGTGATGTCATTTTTATTCAAGATATACAGTTTTACTTAAGGTTATCAAGTTGTTTAATGTCAAGGATAATTGGTCACTTGGTGAATATGTAAAATTAAAGAATGAAGAAGGAACAAACGAGTGATGATAACGTCTAAGATAAAAAGTGTTGATCACTAGGACTAATGTAAGTATCATCTTTGAACACTGATCAAGGTTGAAATGATTATTTTAGGTAAATCACACTGTCGTGAAGATACATTTCACTACAAACCATTGATACCACTTTCTGAAGTATCTAATTACAATAATCCAATAAATAACTTACTGATTTCTGTTTAATGATTCTAACTGAGCTTGTTCATCAGCTGAAATTTTTAAAAAAAACATTCAAACATATTTTACTTTACACTGATTAAATATATTTCTCTATATCATTTAATATAACAGTTGAGATTAGCCTGTACCATTTTGAACAGAAGAAGTAAGTCCTAATTACTTACTGTTTTATGTTAACAAACCAGTTAAATGGACCGTTATGATTTGATGGTGTAGTGCGCGATTTGTTAATCGTTTACTTCGATAACCGTTATTATTCTAATCTTAACGGTGCGTAAAATCAGAAGACAAAGGATAGCAGCAACTACAGTTTATTGTCGAATAACTCGGATCAGAAAGCTAACAACACCTGAGTGAATATCAACGAGCGAGTGAGCGGCAAGCGAGCGAGTAAACAGGCGAATAAGCGAAGGAAGCGAACGAGGAACAAGCGAGCGAATAGCAAGCAATTACATAGGCAATTTATAGTCAAATTTAATAAGAGCACAGCAAAGCAAAACAAAGGCTGATAATAATATTTGCGTGCGTACTTAAATGGGGAGGAGTATGAGTCATCGAATGATATTTAAGCAGTCAACATTTCGGATAGAGTGTCATGTGCTTTAGTAGTATAGCAGTGCAAAGAATATGCAAATTGTTACTATCCAAATACGATTGCTGTTAAGTAAGTTATAAAAAGCGCTTAACCAAAATTGACTATAATCGAAATTGATTGTAGGATGGTTGCTATATAACTACCCCTGCAAACAAAGATACATGAAAAAATGTCTGTATTTGCATAAAGTACTGTAAATTGAATAGCATATTTACAATCATTTGAAGATATGGGCTTGTACAAAATTAGAATGAAGTTAATGTGTATTTAGTTTGTGCCCGTCCGTTAGGCTATACAAAATAGTGGTAAGATATAGAAGGAACATGGTATCGCTTCGAAAAAAAATTACACGTATAAGCGTAAGGTGTGCATAAGCTGTGCCCTTATTAAATTTGACTATAAATTGCCTATGTAATTGCTTGCTATTCGCTCGCTTGTTCCTCGTTCGCTTCTTTCGCTTATTCGCCTGTTTACTCGCTCGCTTGCCGCTCACTCGCTCGTTGATATTCACTCAGGTGTTGTTAGCTTTCTGATCTGAGTTATTCGACAATAAACTGTAGTTGCTGCTATCCTTTGTCTTCTGATTTCACGCACCGTTAAGATTAGAATAATAACGGTTATCGAAGTAAACGATTAACGAATCGCGGCACTACAATAGTATTAGAATTGGGGTTCAACAATTTAAGTATTGAATTTTCAAACACCAAGTTGTTAGTTCAAAACATTTGATAGTTACTTATCTTGATGGTAATCAGATAACTCAAAACAAGCGCATAAATGTGCGCTCAGTCAATTGTTTGCATTGTTATCCTTTGCAACAAACTACATACAATTAAGAAAATTGATGAGATGTAGCTAAGATAATACTGTAAAAAAGGTTTATTCTGAATTTAGATCGTTATCACTGCATTGACCAGCTGGAGTGCTGAATACCGGTAACAAAAATAAAAATCCCTTCTAATAACTTGAAACTTGTCAAACAAGTCAATGTTTATCTGGACTCAACGGCTTAGTGGATAATCCGTTGATGTTCAAAGCAATAGATAGTAGGTTCGGGTCTTCATGTGAACGTCAACAGCTGGAAGCCAATCTGCCTGACTGATGAGTCCTAAGTAAGACGAAACACTTGTTAGAAATTCCATCACTAGTCATATTTCAACCAAAAGTATGTAGTCAGGGAGTAATATAGGTAGATTCGTCAAGGCTTAGTCCGATATAACAACAGCAGAGAAGTACAAACCATTGCTGGCTACCTCAAGAAGTAAGGATCAAGAGTATAGTCAGGTTTTTCAAACATTATCTGTTACGGGGACCAAAAGTTTTACCCCTGGTCTTTCCTCTAGGCCATTCATGAAATTCTGGTTAAATATCTAAACAGGATCCTTGAAAAATGTGGCACGCTGTGAGTGATCTCTTCCTGAATTAACCGTTTGTGTAAGTTTTCTTAAAAAATGAATTACACGACACAGTAATCAAGATATATCTGTTATGTTCAATGTATAAACTGCTGACTTCTTTGATTATACACAGATTATGTAAAACTCTCTAGTGCCTGACTTAATGGGAGGATGCTGCTTTGTTGCTCAAATCTGGAGTCATATTTTACTAAATTCCAGTTGCTTAGACATTATCACACATGTTACGGGTAGAAAATAGCGAGGTTTCTCTACATCTAAGCCATTTACGACCTACTGAACAATGAAGGGATACAACGTATTATTTTTATTGTTTCAAAACAGCAGTGAGGTTAGAACGAGTTGTTTTATCTGACAGTTTCTCATTGATTTCACCAGTAATGATACCTTCAAAAAAACTAAACAAAATATATACTAATGGTTTCTAACTTATTTCATACCGATCTTGTTCTTCATTTGTGCTGTTTCAATATCAATCAGGCAGTGAAATGTGTTGGTGTTAGCACAGATGCTATACGGTTATGAAACTTGCCTTTTATAAGCTGAGGATGTCTGATAACTTTCTGCGTTTGATCATAGGTTGCCTCAAAGGACTACTTACAAGTGGTGATCTAACGATATTATATGTAGGGTTCATCAACATGTATTCTAACATGATGAAGTTGGGAATTTTAATAGTTGTACTATTTTGAAAGACAGGCTTCAGTATTTTGATCATATTCTATGAGTGCCATCCTATTGGCTACCATGCTTTCAAAATAAGTACGGGTAGTTAGTTCATGATGAAGGCTAGTGAAATGAAAGATAATCAGAATGGATTGAAACCCTTCGGCTCATGATGTCTTACAATTTACAATCTTAAAAGTCTCAAAACCCTGTGAATTGATATATTATCAAGAATTACTCGGAACAGTATTCACCGAAACTCCTACTGGAGCTTTCTGTTGTATTCTTCATATCAATAAGGAGAAAAATAGAAATGAACAAAATCTATTTTAACTGTGTTATTATTTGAGTTATATATCTTAGTGTATACTACTTTATTAATTAATGTGCTAAATGTATGGTTTCTATCCTTTATTTCTTCATAACGATTTGATTTCATTGTTTATAGTTCATTTCTTAGTGGTCTATTGTACATGGTGATTTTTACGCTATTCATAATTAAATTGGATAGAACGATAAAATCTCACCCAAAGAATTGTATGATTCCTTCGAATTAAAAGCTATTTCTTCTGTAACATTGTCTTGTTCACCTACTCCATCTTCTCTTTCTTCATATTCTAAAGTATTTATAACTTCACTAGAATCAGAAGTATCCACATAATCATTTTTAACGGAAGCAGTCTAAAATTGAAATAGACACTATAAATTACATTTTTTTAATTAAATAACAGAAACCAAATAAGTATCAATGCCAAGGATGGACTTGATGCCTTCACACAGATTGAGCATTGAATAGAGAGTTAATAATAAACTTTTTTGATATCCCAATGAGTAGAAAAATTGTATTTCTGACGTTTCGTAACTTCTTGTAAGCTACTTCTTTAGAGTAAACAAATGCGTAAATTAAATTAGCACAAGTATGTTTCCTTTGTATTATTTAAAATTGTGTTAAGTTGTTGTCTATTCTGAAGAAGTGGCTTGCATTATGTCACAAAACGTCAGAAATATAAATTTTCTACTAATTGGGACAAATAATATATTTATTATTAACGGAAACCAATAATTGAGGAAACACAAATCTTAATTTTACTCAGATCCTTATAGATTAATATGTCGGATATCATCAATGCAAAGAGAGAGTACATTGATATAGATAACCATAAAGATGTAGGTTACAAAAATACTTTTTACAATTAATCAAAACTTTAAATCCTCAAAACACCTCTATATATGACTCAAACAACTCTATTTTTTAAAGAAACAACACTGTAAGATGATAAGTTTATTACACAACATATAAACTGTTCCCAGGAATACACCATTATCAATCATTTAGTAGAAGTTGGTAACCAGTTGTATTCTGATGTTTCTTTTAGAACTATGGTACAGGATTTTCATTAACTAATAAGTTACTCTATAGTTTTGTTCAAATAATATTAAATTGGTCTCATTACGCTCACATATGTATATTGAAATGTGTCCATTAGTTAATTGTTTGTCACTTAAGAGTTTTTCTACGGTATTCTAAGTAAGATAGAACAAACATTTTCTATATAAAATGATATTCAACTTATGATATTAGAAATTAGTTATTTCAAACTACATTATACGAACTGACTTCAGATGATTCATCTCGAAACATAAAGAAATATTATATATGTGTTACTTTTGAAATTCGTACCAATTATTAAAATGTAACATTTGATTTAAAGGTTTTATGGCAGAAATACTATAACCGGACAGCTGTATATGTCATTTTTATGATTCTTTAAAGAAATTTCAACCACTAAATATTCCATAAAGTCTTGTATCTATTTGAAGTCTTAGCTCCATAAAATAAAGTAACTAAGGTTACAAATCTTCTCAATAATATACCAAACTTTGCGGTTCGATATCCTTTATCCCCAAAAACACGTATGCTTCTTTTAAGTACCAGATTTCAACATTTCAGTGTCACTCATGGTAATATGTCCATTACATTACACAGCATAAACTTACTAGTTAGTAATATTGACATTTATCAGAATTGCAAGTTTGAGAAGTGCGAAAATTTAATTGATCCATAAAACATTATACAAAAGACGCTACATATATAGTAAATATTTATAACATACTTTATTGACAAAGTAATAGATATGAAATAACAGAACGGGGATTAATTATTGTTTCAGATTCAGTGAATATTCTTTTAATAGTTGAATTCATAAGTCAATTAAACCTAGGCCATCAAGGAAACTTGGAAGCACTGGATGGCCGTCTTGTTCTAGTATGGGACTCCTCAGCAGTGCGCATCCACAATCCCGCATTGCGAGATTGGGACCTAGTACCTTCAGTCTCGCGTGTGAACCCTCAACTTCTAGACCACTGAGCCGGCATCCAACGATGTTGATGTCCAACTTCAACCAATCCACGGAATTGAGCAACCGTCCACCATTGTATTCAGTGAGTTACTATCTCACAACAGACCCGGTTGAACTCCACTAGTTACCGCTTCTCACTAGAACTTCTTTGTTCAGATGTATGCTTATTTATCTGAAATAACTTTTTTCAGTAAATTAACAAGTTTATTTTGTCTGAACTTAATTTTTGTCAAGAGATAGAAAGATGAATTAGTGAAATAAAAAGATGAAACTCAAGTTAGACTAAATATTTAACTTTAAGTTGTTGATTTTAACAAATTACTACAATCCTGATCAGATAAGTCTTGGAGAAACAGTCTGTTTTAAGCCTAACTTTTTTTCTAATAATAATCTATGAATTACAAAATCCATGTTAGTTAACAACTGCTTACAATGAATTGTTATTATACGATATTTAATTTAAACGTTTCCTTTTTCTCATCTTTGCAGCTTTCCATGTTGCAACAAATACTTGTTACAAATATACATCCAACATATGATTATAATTTATTTTCCATTTACGGAATTATAGAGACTTGGACAAAATCAATTTAAGTCATCATTTAGCATCATTCTATTTCTCTCTTAATACATCACTCCTTAAATATACAGATATGAAGGCACCTGTAGATGAGTTCGCACTATCATGAATTGATTCAAGTTAGAAATGTTCATCACTATATGCCGGAATGAAGATAAGCACATGTCGCAAGATTTGAATATCCCGAGTTCAACCCCTGGTAGGATCGTAATTGTGCACTGTTGAGAAATCTCATATCAGAATAAAACATCTGTATAGTACTCCCTGATTTTCAACGGTTATTTAAATTCATTATGTAATACATAATACAAAATGTAATATATTAGTCATTAGTTTATAATGTAATTTGTGATAAATGTTTACAGAATTTCACCTTCCCCCCCAAAAAAAATAATAAAAACAAAGAAAGGGATCATGTTAAGTAATTTAATCATATTAGGATCATTAAATCAAAGATACAACTATTCATAACAAATAACTTACTTCAACATAACAACAGCTGAGAATAAGTATACTTAATACTATAATCAATTTTTTATTCATTATTCCAAGTGAATCATTTAGTAGTATTATTTTTTTTTTAAAACAAACAAAAAAAATATCCAAATTAATTTAGATGAATTAAGTCCACTCTATTGAAAGACATTTCAATTAAATAATAATGAAAATTTGTATTAACCGGCATTTTATGTAATTTGAAATTTTCATTGAATCAATGAATATAACCAATTTTTGTTTATATTAATTATTGAATATTTATATATATAAATTGTCACCATATTTAAACATCTTTTTATTTATATAATAATTAAGAATTTACATGAAAATAATTTAACTTTTAATGAAACTATATCAATCTAACATAATGGTATATTCATTAGTTCTGTTCTATGCTAATGTCTATTATGTCATTAATAATTTATACTACTATTTCATTTATACAGTAATTTTGTTTATTATATTTTGTACTATATTACTATGTAAATAATAAATATATATATTGTTTTAGCTTTGTTAATATCCCGATAAGAATAATGAATAGTAACTTTTGGGATCCATGTATGGATCAATACTATATGTATATTTTATTGTATAATAGTTAAATAACTAAACTATTCAGATTCATGTTCCTATCATTATAAGCTTTGTTTTGACCTATGAACTATTATTATACGATTTACCATTCTTGAGTTATAACCTGTATATCAATTACTATCTCCCTTATTCACAGACACATTTGTCTGAATCTTGTACAAATGTTATTTCCTATTTTATGGTACGATGTGTTCTATCCGGTGGCATACAAACATAGTATGTTTGAAATAAATGATTCATATTGCGGAGGCTGTTATTGGTGTTCTGAACTTAATTGGCTGGGCTAGGCAGAAAACAGGACGGATAAGGACTCTAGACTGCTTGTACGGGTTTCATGTGTCATTGGTTCGACCGATAATTCACTGCCCTCTAATTGACGGAATCATCACGTTATAAATTAATAGAGCACCCAGGTCACAAGATATGACAATTTTAGACCCTATTAATTAAATATACTCGTATTTATATGATAAATATTATCGAGACATTGTCAGAACTGAAAAATCTTACCTCAATCTAACCATTGTGATGGTAAAATAAGAAACTGTATCCTGCCTTAACGTTTCTAATAAGAAAATATTGACGTGAACAATAATTCAATAGATAATGTAGTTAAGTGGACAAATCATTAATAACTAAGAAGGAAAATTCACTTAATATTGCTTACCCGAATCTTCCCATTGATGCTTAGGACTTCAGGTGATCAGTCATTTATTGGCATATATGCATACTGTGCGTATTGCCTCGATATTGCCTTACGTCACAAGCCTTGTGAGCAAAGATGGATGGTACCTGGCATTGTAATATAGTACGCGCGTTTAGTCCCATTTGTGACTCGTCAGCTGGATGCAATTAGGTTCCAGAGTTGATGTTCACTCCAGGACTCGAAGCCTATCAGGACTCAGGAGCTAAATGATTAGTGCGATGGCGTTTAAAGAGAATGGCACTGGGTTCCAGTCTCAGAGTGAACATCAACTCTGGGATGCAAGTATATCCAGTTGACGAGTCGAAAATAGGACGGAACGCGTGTCCCGGATTCAGCTGCTAACTATCATCCATCTTTGCTTATAGCTAAGAAGGGAACTCTGAATTTAGTCCACACTAATACTAACAATTCTGATTTTCAAAACAATGTAGTTGTGTTTATATACAACTAGTCGACTAGCCAATAATTTGAATAGTAGAATTCTTTTTATTCTGACAACTTCAATGATTGATTCTGAATCTGAAATAGTTGTTACACAAGAATTCATGTTATGCAATCTGATCTGACATTCAAAGTAAATAGGGAGCCTGTTATCAGCCTAATATCAATATTTTCAAGGATAAACGTCCATGAACACCTTTATTTTTTTAGTCTGTGATTTATAGTATGATGATCTCATAATTCATCTTAGGGTTGTTTCGTTTTAAAAAAGATATCATTAGTGACCGTATAAATATATCTGGGTAAAAAAGCTTATGATTCCTTATGAAAACTATCCTTATTATCTCAGCAGTGACCATTTCATAAAATGTTCTTCATTCCTGTAAAATGAAGGCCTCTTTACGGCATGTCTGCATAATAAATACAAAAAGTTCCCATCGCATGAATTAGAACACTACATATTGGCCAAAAGTACTGCTTTTAACTGGATCTCTATAAGCCTTAAATATATAATAATATTTATATCTATACATTAAAAAAATATTAATCGACTCATGGTAGTTGATGAGTCAATAATGATAATCCGATAGATTGAATAAATAAATATGATTAATAATATATAGTTTAATAAATCCCCAAAATAAATAGCTCTATAAGTCATTTATATTTATGCTGACTTCATTGGCTGAAGGTGATATCTTTAACAAAAAGCACCAATTGAGAGTAAAATGAACAGTTTATTAACAGTGATAAAATTAATAACAGATTGAATCAATTAGTATTGTTTGTTTGAATCTTTCCATCGATGTGTTAGGACTGCAACTGGTCAGTCTCTAATTGGCATATGTGCATACTGTGCGTATTGCCTCGATATAGCCTTGATTCACAAGCATGATAAGCAAAGATGGATAGTGGCTAGCAGTGGAATCCAGGACGTGCGTTTCGTCCTAATTGGGACTCGTCAGCAGGATGTACCTGCATCTCAGAGTTGATGTTCACTCTCGGACTCGAACCCAGTACCCTCGCTTCAAACGCCATCGCGTTATCCACTCGGCCACTGAGTCCTGATAACCACTTGCTTGTGCGTTGGGGTGAAGTTTAAATTCACTTAGTATTGTTTGTCTGAATCTTCCCATCGATGTGTTAGGACTGCAACTGGTCAGTCTCTAATTGGCATATGTGCATACTGTGCGTATTGCCTCGATATAGCCTTAATTCACAAGCATGGTAAGCAGAGATTGAATCAGTTTTTTAAAACCTGAAGTGTGTTAAAACTCGGAAAGGAATTTTTTACTGTAGATTTACTCTGGAATAAAATAGTACTGTCGTGTTATTTTGGTATTTTTACTAATTCATGATCCTTTTCGACTTGGTTGCGAGCTTGTTACGATTTCCAAATATAATACATTTTTGGGGTGTGCTACTTATATCAACATAAGTGGTACATAACGTTAGCCAGGAATACAATGTCTGGCAGCAGAAGGTCGAGAAGATCAAGAAGGAAAGAACGGGAACAGAAAACAATTGGTATGGAAGTGAAGAAATATTGAAATCTGAGACGATTGACTGACATTTTGCAAATTAAGTATCACTATATGGTTCTCAGATTTTACTAAGAGATTCTGTCCCCACCTATGTTCTCGTTCGCTACACATTGGGTTGTACTCATCTAGTTCTGTCTCAACTCGGACTATTCTAGGAATTCTTAGTTCGAAAGTCAGTTTGACTACTCCTAAATATTATATTTATCAACAATTTACTCTCGATTTAAGCCCAAATTAATCCTTAGGGTTTCGTTTTATAATTCAGATAATTAAATTAACTCATGGTGTCATTGGATAAAAATAGTTAAAATCAGCGAAATAAGTTTTTTTTTTCTTTTCGACGAAACTATAAATATGAGTATACAGCTTAAGTTAATGATTTCGTCAGAAATAATTTTTTCTTGGATTCTTTTTATTTTTATAAATCAATTCATAATTCTTTAAACATACAATAAAGTTAGAATGACGAAGGATTAACGTAAGCACATCATACTCTCTCTTATTCGATTAAACTTTCCTCCTCATTTTTTGATCTGTCTTCAGTTATTTCTATATTCAGTGACATACAAGGCCCACTTAATTAAATTTGCTAACTGAATTTGGAGAGTAATTTATCGTAAACTGATTCAATTCCTGTTTATTTTTAATTCTCTATCTCTTTCAGGTTAAACTACTCTTGAATTATTTCATTCACAATGTGTAAACAACTAAAAATTGGACAGGTATCTATGCTACTAAGAAACATATGATTAAAAACTGTACCAACTGAATAACCTTAAACAATTTTTATGAATCTGGAACCACCTAACACATTAATGAATCTATAGAATTTCACAGATGGTAATATTTTGGAAGGAAATCAGTAGAACATCACACTGTAGCGGTAAATAAACAGTTCTGTAAGTATATGGGAGAACGGTAAGATTTTCGGAACACTTGAAGGACTACTACACGTGGGATATTATAAACGTTTTTTCTCTTTGTCTTCAATTTCGCTTTCTAGTCAGTCAGTTAGTCAGTTAAAATGTAGGATCAGGCACATATATCCATCGGTTCAAGTTGCCATACTTCATTAGCACAACAAGATGAACATCAAATTCATAGTAGTTACTTCAACGGTAGTAATACATAGAAGAAAGATCGTGTATAAGGGTATAATACAGGGGAAATGAATTAGTTCGTATAAAGAAAGGTATAAAGTAATTTAATTCTCACAGTTTAAGGGCAGACAAAGAGTGTATACACCGACGTCAATGTGATCGATTCTGAGCCATGTCACACAGTCTCCAACCATTGGTTACAATAGTTGCACGAACCACAACTAAGTAGTCTGTATCTACCAACATGGCTCAGACTACAAGTTAGTGACTTTATGGTGTGATGCCACGTTTTGGTTTGACCGCCTGTTGTATACCGAAGAGAATTGTGAATGGTAACTTTTGAAGACTATTTGTGGACCAATGTAATATGTATATTTCCTATTGTATGGTTGTTAAGTAACTAACCTAATCATATTCGTGTTCCTCTTATCATAAGCTTTATTTTGACTTTTGAACTATTATTATACTATTCGTTAGTTATCATCAGTTTATTGATTATTTTCCCCCCTATTCACAGCCACATTTGGCCAAATATTGTACAAATGTTATTTTCTATTTTATGGTACGATGTGGTCTGTTTGGTTGGTATATAAACCCAGTATGTTTGTGAATAATGATTCATACCTCAGAGGCTGTTATTAGTGTTCTGGACTTAACTGGTTGAGCTAGGCAGAAGCAGGATCTGTTAGCGCAATAAACTGCTCGTACGATTTCGTGTGTCACTGTTCCAATCGATAATTCGCTGCTCCCTGATTGGCGGTCTCATCAAGTCACACATTAACTAGGCATCCACTCGGCCAACAAGATATAACACCGCCTCTAACTCTCTTTCAACCATCCCCAACACTAGTCAGCATTGCGAGTCGTGATAATTGGTGTTCAGGCATACGTAACGCGTGGCCCAACCATCT